GGTTATGTTTTCAGAGGCGTTCGTGTATGCGTGTGTGTGTGTGTGTGTGTCTAGTAAACACGATAGCTTGAGAAGGCCTTGATGGATTGTCTTGATACTTGGGTAGGTGGTAGGTCTTAATGAGACCTCAAAATGATTAGATTTTTGGGCCCCCTAGCAGCTTGTTACGGTACTGCAGCTGAACTTCCGGTTTTGATATCTCATGATCCTGATATGCCAGGGTGACGAAATTCAGATGGCACGTAGCTCTTGTGCTGGGAAAGAAGTGACGTGAGTTTGGGCCCCCTAGCGGCTTGCTCTGAAACTGCAGGACTATCTGTTTGAATATATTCAAAAGAGAATAACTCAAGAATCGGTTGACGGATCGTCGTGATTTTTGGTATGCAGGTAGCTTAAGTGATGCTTAATATAATTATGTGACAATTATGCAAATATGGATGTAATTTGCATAATTTATGGAGAAATTCTATAAATCAGCTGCATTCCATCATAGGACTATTGAAGCTTGTCGCATTGGTAATTTTGAACGAGATAAACACAGGCAGATATTGATTATGTAAATGAGGACTTAATTTGCATAATTAATGAGAAAATGTTATAATTCTGTAATGATAACTGCCTGGAATTTCATATTTATGGTCTTTGAAAGTACAGTGAAGGTGAACATCATTAAACATAATGTATTCAAATCAGGACCTCATTTGCATAATTTACGAGGAAATGCTAGAATGGCATTGTTTGTTAATATAAGACTGTCTTTTGGTTGAGAATATGATAAACTGATAAAATTCATAAGAAAGAGGATCCTATTTGCACAAGCAGGGGGAATAATCTATCATTTGTCAGCCATAAAGATTAACATCATTTGGCGAAGGTATGAGATCGGGGAGCTCTAGTTATGTGAATGCAATGATTGTGTGTGTGTAATTAAAATGAACTTCGAACTTGAAGCACAGTATCTTTACACGCCCTGGGAGCAGTAATGGATTTAGCTCTTTGTATGTTTTATGGTTGTGACGCGCCCTCATTGTATTAACCGTTGCCTAATTTAATATAATGTCTGCACAGTAGGTCTGGCGTTGACGCTTGGGATTTTGTTTAAATATGTAAAACTTCACGGAGGATTGTCACCTATGGCTTCTTGTTTTTGTTGTTGTTGTCGTTGTTTACCTCCATTATAATACAGAGGCCTTCAGAGAGCCGCCGCAGCCTCCTGAGAGAGATGAGCCGAAAAAGGACCAGTCGGGTCCTGAGTACACGTGGCAGCTGAAACCGCAGGACTCAAAGATGCAGACTCTGTATAACTTCAACGAAGTTGCGGTATGTGTAGACACTATTGATTTTTGCATACTAGTATGTGCTAACATGGACCAATAGACCAATGAGGCCTTTTGTAGCCTCCGTAGCAGGCTTATAGAACTGGGGGTTTGGTGGTCTTCGGCTGTTTTCTGATTAGCCCAGTTCTAAAAAAACAGGGGTAATTCAACCAGACCGGCTATGTTGTCTATATGCAATCAGAAAATAGCACATAAAAGCTCCCAAAGACCCTGAAGACCCCCAAAACCTCAGTCGTGGCATGCTATGGAGGCTAGCCTTTTCAAGAATGTGTTGAACACCTGAGGTATGTGTCTTCATATCTCTGGGATTACTGATGATGCATTACATCTTACAATTTACATTTTATTGTTTATGCTAATTGCCCAGTTTGCTAATGATATCCACATTTTCCCAAACAGATACCACCAAAGAACCAGTTCTACCCATCAGACGAGACCTCACATGAGAAGTTGAAACTCCTGTACGGAGACAGCAAAATCAGTCCGTGTTGTGATAACTGTTCCTCTCCCTGCTGCTGTCCAGCTTGTTCTTGTCAGAGTTGTGTGATCCTATAGCCCCCTATTTTAACAAGAAATGTCACCACTCCTGAGGCGTCGCCAAAAAAGTTTAGTCAGCCTAACTCACACTTTGATACTATCGGGTAGCCTCCACCAGGCCTTTCTACGGGAATACGGATTGTAGAATTCGGCAACAAAGAGAGTAAAATTGGCCAAGGGAGTCCGGCCGCGGGGAGGTACAGTAGTTTCTTTCCCTCCGAGTACGCGGCCAGTCAAACCTCCAAGGCAGCCAAACTCCCCTGGCAATTATTCTCCTATATACTGATATAGCCAGCGTAGTTAGTAGTCTGGTAGAGACTAACTATCGGGGCACCTGTTTAGCACACTGATGCTGAGGCTTGATGGCAGCCAGCCATTTGCCTCTATCCTATGGGTTAATGTTATGTAGGTTGACCTAACATTTGTTTTTAACAAAAGACAATGCAACTTCTCATATTTAAGATTCAATGAAAATGTTTCAGGCTTAGTGGGGCACCCATTGGAGTGTTGATGTTAGACACATGTACCTAATATTATTCAGCTGAGATGAACAAAAATTGCAGTACCATAGAAGATACTAATATGGAGGACCCTTATAGTATGTATTATTTAATATACGAAAATGTACAAAAATGGGTAGGGGTGATATCAAATTGCTATGTTTCCTCCTATCTTACTTCTCATTGAATAGGCCAGTCAATATATTAGTAGTTAAGAATTTTACATCTAAATAGATAATATTGTTTTATCTTAGTTACACTTTCTTCTCACAATGTTATTTATGTGTAGATCAAACACTGCAATATGATTGAAATAAATAGTTTCCTGGAGATGTACTTTCTGTGCTCTGTGACATCTTTCTGTTAGCTTCATGACCTCAGTGTACTGAGTTTTTTTTTTTTTTTTTTGGTGCCTCCGTGTGTTTCTGTAGTAGGAGATGTAACTGCAGATGGAAATGATGGAAAATAGAGGTTCAGAGGTGGTAAAATTAGTTGGTCTATCAACTTTGGACACAGTATCAGTGAATGAGATACAAAACTGGAAGTTCTGCTTAAGTACCAAGGACAGCTGCCAAGATGTTCAATTAATATAACCATCTGTTTCATAAGTCAAGACCTAACCACACACCAAATTTCGTGACAGATCTATCCATAGCTTCTTGAGTCAGTATGCTTTCAAGTTTCTTGGTTAAAAACATCAGTCTACAAAAACCTGGACCCAAAGTCATAGACAAGTTCCACTTTTTAATTCCAGAGAAACATAACAAACAGGCACAAACAACAGGAAAAATTGTACAGCAGCTAGACTTTGTTTTACATAATTTGTACATTTTCTTAGTGCTACAAAATACAGGGGTCAAATTCTAAACACAGCAGGTGAATTGAGTATCTAGGCATCGCTGATGAATTTTGGTTCATTGCAATAAATTGTTTTTCTTTGCATTTTGTAAGGCTACACCAATTCAATTTCATAGTTCTTGCTTTTTAGCAGAAAAAGAACAGCAGGCACACAAATGAAATGAAGAAACTGGTATCCTGCTACCACATGAGCCCCAAAGTCAACATAACCAGCTGATTACCATCAATGACTTTTAATGCATTGACAAATGGAAAAAACAACCAGAAAGACAACAACTGTCTTCAACTGTTGGTGCCAAAATGTGTGCATCGGAGTTAATGCACAGGTCACTTGGTACAATGTACATGTCATCTTTTCATTTCCTTTAAAATCAGAAAACAATGAGCCTAAGAACATACCAAATTGGTATAACCTTAAAGCAGATGTACAGTGTTACAGCTGTTTTAGTCACTTTTTAGAATGGGTCATGATACAACACAGAGGAGTTACATGTTTTGTACATGTATATGGCTGACAGTTTTACAGATGAACTTTTAAAGTGACGGCTATCAGAATATTGATTTGTTACATGATGCATAAATGTGTACAGCTTTGAGTTGTATCACTGGTGCCATTTCTATTGATTCTTGACGACAATATAATCATGTCATGTATTTCAGTGTCAAGAACACATTTCAAGTACAACATGTACTATATGATATGCAAGTACATACATGGAGTTAGTGCCAATGAAATCTTTCAAACTGTGCACTGCCTCCCCCTAGCAGGATGATTAAGAACTACAGCCAGCTGGTACAGCAAAGACCTCTTCTGTTACTTGTTGGTTCTCGGATTCGCCTCTTCGTTTTTTTCTGATTTGCAAAAAAAAAAAAAAATGATTCTGGTTCTGAATCAACTGAAAAATGCTCATGTTTTGCCCCAACAGTTGAGGATAGTCCTTTTCTTCCTAGTTGTTACAGTTTTCCCATCTATCATTGCAGTGGTTTGATTAAAAGTTCAAAATTCAATGTTTAAATTTTAACCCAGCCTTTTGTGTTGACTTCATGGCTCATTTCGTAGCATTTAAGCCTTTAATAGGATGCCTAGACCTGTTTTTATTTTTATTTTTTTTCGCCCTGTCGCTTCATATTTTTTCTGAAAAAATCCGAGAACCAACAAATTAAATTGGTGTGGCCTTACAGTGAATATCAAGGGGACAAATTTAACTGTACAAGTAGTCAAGACTTACTCCGTTTCAATTCCTGTTCAAGACTTTTGAAGATTGATATCTTGGTTATGATATACACATGTAATGTCAACTCTTACAATTCCGCCAGATACCTTACAGCCAAGACTGTGACAAAAACTGGTGAAACGTGCAGCATCAGCAATACCAGATGTACACTTCAGATAACCAGGTGTTGAAAACATTCTTTAAAAGGCATCAATATTAAAAAGTCTTACGGTAACCGGCAGAAGTATGAGAGTTGACATAGAAATCTATTTGGCACTTCTTAGTTCACCACATAAAACTGGGCCCATCGATTGACAAGTTGCTAAAGAAAAATTGGTATGTTACGCTAAAGAAAAATTGTTTCATTCTTATCAAGCTAACAGGTGAGCATGGATTAAAAGCAGCAGAAATCGAGATGAGAGAAAAGTTACAACCAAGACTTGAATGAAGATAAAAGAGGAGTTTGGTGGGTAGCAAACATACCCTTTGGAACTAAATTAATGATTTACAGTGGTCCAGCATTAATTTTGTTTCCTGGGGTCCCAAAAATTCCATGACGTACATTTTGTAATTAAAACATAAACAGCCTCTCCCTTTTCCGTAAATTCTAACCTTTGAGCAGGCAGCATTTGGGTCAGAGTCCGAAAGATTAGGTACACATCAGCTGCATAATGTAAATTCATTCATTTTCACAGGGACTTGATTTTGTGGTGGGAGCAGAAAAGTAGTTTTCATAGGGTTTCAAGTCTACAGTTGAAACAATTTCTGTGGTAGGAATTGAAGCAGTGTCATGATATTGCAGTGGATAGGTTATGGTTAAAATAAAACCACTGCGAACATTTAGAAATTTGCAGTAACTCCCCTTTATCCTGTATACTTTGTGGATCACAGAAAATTTAATTTATTCAGGAATATCTGATTCATCTACAGGAATATCTGATATAAATACCAAATACTAGTATTATCCATCCACCAGGCAGACAATTACTTTTATGTAGAGTTGTGAACCTAAAAATGTTAGGTACAGGTACTAGGTACAAGGGTTAAGGTGCAGGCCCAGACCTATACCTGTACCTAAGCAAGTTTGACCAGTCATCTGTAAGTTTCATAAATATGTAGTTACTCTCTTAGTCACTGCAGTGAATTGTTGTGTTTATGTATTTTAATGTAGTGATTTTTTTTGTCTACATATTTTAAACTAAAAAGAAGAATATTCAATGCAATTTTTCATGATTTTCAAGACCTGAATTGTAATCTTCAAGATGCAATTTATCTTTAGTGTAAAAACATGTGTTTTATTGTTTAGGTACAAGCTAGTACACTAGATGTTCAGTTCGGGACTTGTGGACTTGTACCTTAATATCTAAATAATACCTTCATGAGTACATGTACAGGTACAAATGTATTAGGTACACAGTCCTTAGACCTTCATTGTAAGCAAGAACACACTACTGTTGGTTCTAACTTCTAACATAGGCAGTCAGAGAAGTATGGACTAGTTACTAGTTGTATGAAGAAATCAAAAGGTTTCAAAATGCGGTACTTGTAGTTCTGATATTACTTCATTGACAAAACACAGCAAGTTTTAATACACACTGTATTATATCCATATACACAGATGCCTCAGTGATTTTACATCAGACTGGTAAATCAATTATCTCTGGGACAAGCACTTGTCTTTTCTCTTCGTTGTAGAATATATACATTAAAAGGTTGATTTCGACGCCTGAAAATGGGGAGGTGGCAACACAATGTCAATTTTATGGATAACATCCTCTGATCTGAATGCTCAGTGAAAAAAAATCATAACTTAAACTTGTTCTGCAGAAGACCTTTCTGGTTTTATGATAATATTCTCTCTCTCTCTTCTCAAATACATATGGCTTATAACAACAGTGAACTTCTTGACATAAAACATTTTCATGTGATGTCATAGGGCCACCAACATAGAGGTGGGAAACGAATTGTAGCTCAAGCATTTTTGGACGTGTAAAGCTCCTTCTAACCACTCAAAGAAATAGCAGACAAAACAAAAATGTGCTGTGTACACTTGAGCTAGGGACTGCTGAAATACAAATCAAGGACGCCAACATGGTGGTCAGAATCTGTCTCCTTTAGTGATATGGAAAGTGAGTGAAATTACTAAAATCCATCACAGCAAAGATGTCATCCATAAAATCAAACTTGTGTTCCCAAAGCAATACCTAAATGCAGAGTTATCGAGGAAGTTTGAATCGAAACGGAAATCTCAGCTAAAAAACATCTAAGAACCTCTAGAGTCTTTCACGTTTTGCAAATGATTTTCCTGTCAGTAGTTACTGCACTGTAAATTCAGTAACCTTTGTTGTGGTTTTATGTCTCAGTAGGAGAGGAAAGTAGGTTTTTGCTACTTATAAGTTTGGAATTAAAACAATTTTATAGTACAGTTGCAGTAATACGCTGGAGATGCATATTCATTGTGTCAAGAAATCGAGGTGGAGGATTAATCGCGAAAATAAAACCACTACAAACATTTCAAGATTTACAGAACATTAAAACGATAAAGTTTCAGTACTAGAATCATCTAATCATAACGATCATGAGCAGCATATTAAATATGTGAACTAATATGTAGTATCGTTTTCAGAGAAATTACAATCATATAGCACAGCTTGTTTGACACATACATATCCCCAAATTTGAACTGTCCCACAAAAAAACAAGTCCAATACTTATATATACATAAAAGATGAATCTAACCCTGCTTCAAACTTCATGAAATGAAAATGCAACAAAAAAAATCACACGACAAACAGCTTGTTCTTCCTTCCAATAATTCAGCTCAGAAAAGTTAATTGGTTCATGATCAGTGTGGAGAGAAGCCTTGTTTGTTACATGATTTTTTTTGCTGCAAGTTCAAGCATCTTTCTTGCGTGCTATCTGCATTCGTTGATCTGAGTTTCCCTACATCAGTTGTTGTTTAGAAATTTCCCCAAACAGAGTCTAATTCTAAGGCCACATCAACGAAATTCCGTGGTTCTTGGACTTAAAAGACATGACAACAAAGAACTTGAAATCCACCTCCAGAATCTTGAAGCCATTACATTGTATAAGGCCATACTATCTTGTTTCTATAGTCCTTTAAGACATTTTAAGTAGGGCACATCAAAGGATGCCATTTACATCAGGGCCTGTCAACCATCTTTAAACTGAGACGGGGGGCGCGCTACAAACTAACAGTCATCTTTGACCGGCTCCTGGAGGCGTGAGTCCCTCAGAATACATACACATGTCTGAAGTTGTTGACCATGAGAAAAATGAAATATGTTTGTGTTCGGGTAAAGGTTTAGATCCTTTTGCTGTCTTTCACATGTACATGTAGCACTAAGGTGTTTGTAGCTTCTAACTAAAACAAAACTTCTTCCACTGGGGTATTATTGTTGTTGTACCCATGGACAATATTTTGCACAAAGATGTACATTTGTATTTCTGTCTTAAGACCAAGAACCAAAAAAAAATTGTCTTTGCGTGGCCCTTAAGGGGTGTATTTTGCAGAAAACCAGAAGCGTGGCCCAAAACTAGAGATGTTGGATTCCTCTTGGTCCTGGGGACCAGGCATTGCACCAGACAGCAGACAAGAAGCACATACAGTTTCAGCAAACTCCTCCCCTTCCCAAAGTCTTGTCACTTCCGGTAAAAATTTGTCCTGTCTTTCTCAAAGGCATGGTGTGCTTGGTGAGCTGGAAGACAACAGAAATAGGAAATCAGAGATGTCAAACTTTCAAATTAGATATGGTTTGCGTTAAGGAATTGCATTTGATTGTGTGACGTAACCTACTCCGCTATTACACCATGGTTTATATTTCATACCATGATTACACAGCACACATTCTTGGTGAGCACAAACCTGCCCCATAGAGCATCCCAGGTAACAACACTGTCAGTCAACTGAAACCAAATCTCTGCCCACCTACTTCCCATCCTCAGTTGCTGAACCAGAGCCGCTGAAAACAATACTTCCATCTCGGGAGTAATAAAATTCCTGCAGATAGCCTATATTTGTAATTGTGGGACAGGTTATGAGAACGTCTAACTTTTGTTTCCTGTTGGGCTTCCAAAAAAATAAGTCTTCACTTATTTGCATATCAACCAATAGTTCATGCATATAAATCTACCTTTCTCCTGCAAGTCTCTAGTGTCAGTGATGAAAGGTAGTGGATGCTACCTGAAACTTCTGACCGTTTCCAAAATCATACCCAGTTGCTTGAGTATCTGTTTTTTGATGTATCTTATTACCTGGATGTCTTACCTTAACCGACAAATGAGAATTCAATGTTCTTTATAACAAGATTGAGAAGACTCACGCTTGTAGAACAAGGTGGGGAAGCTGGTGTTTGGGAGCAGCTCTCTGAACTTGCTGACGACTGAGGCCTTGTCGGCCACCTCGGCATTCTGGTTCCAGATCTGGATGATGTCGTCTCTTTCCCTGACACTGACGCTTAGACCCACAACCTCATCCCCTGGAACATCAAGACATCGCAGACATGTTTGTTTGTTTGTTTCCTTCTTCTTCTTCTTCTTCCATATTACGTGCTTAACCTCAATAAGCTGAGGACTCCAAGCACGGTACGTAGAAGACGTACACAAGACTGTAATGTTTGATCCACTCACACCGGGAAGGTCCCCTACTCTTTTCGATAAGTGTGGCGGGTTCTTTAGCGTGCTCGAGGTGTGGCTCTCCCCAAACACGGGACCTCCATTTAACGTCCTATCCGAGGGACGTCCCTAACCGAAGCTAGGTACTCATTTACACCTGAGTGAAGTGAGGAAAGTCGTGTAAAGTGCCTTTCCCAAGGGCACAAGATCGGTGACATGGGTGGGGATCGAACTCGGGATTCTAGGTCCCGAGCCGAACGCGCTACCGCTGCGCCACACGACCCCACAATTTCTTTGTTATTTATTTCAGGAACCTCCAATTAGAGTCAATACAACCACTACTCTTTCTGGAGTACTCTTTCATACATTATAAAATACAAACATTATAACAAATACATATATTTACATTCATTTCTAATTACTTTGAAACTCTTTCCTCACACGACTCAGGTGAAGATGAGTACCTATCATCATCAGGAGATCTGTGTTTGAGGTGAGCCACACCCCCAGCACATTAATTTACATAATAAAGGTCCTACCATACAAAGAGTAGGATTCCTTCCTGGTGTGTGTGGATCAAACCTTACGGTCTGGTATTACACAGCTTGTACAAAATTAGTGACTGTCTCTGTTTACCAGTTGTGCAAAACAAACAAACAAACAAACAAACAAACCTTCTGCTGTATGGTCTGTAAACTGTTCCCCAATGACAGCCAGCAGTAGCTCTTTCCACACCACACTCTGGGATAACAAAAGGTACAACATACATGAAGCTTACATGAAAGCTCTTTTTAAAGAAGGAATTAAACTGATACGCACGACATAAATTGTTCTAGTAGAAGCTTTCAGGTGGCATCCGCCATCTTTCTTCAGCTCATAAGAGGGGTCACGTGACCTAGGTGTCAAAGGTCACCCAGGTCACATGACTGGACGAGGGAGTTGTAGACTGGTGGGAGCCTGTGGCGTCCTTGGTCACGGTTGAGGAACGGGGAGCGGGACCTGATGTGCACAGCTTCCTTGACTCCTGGTTCGAACCATCTACTTTCACGGTCTAGAATGGTGACTTTCTTCCCCGGTTGGTGTTTGTAAGTCTGCATGTGTTGTGCCACCGGAGAGGAATCTCGCTTGTGCTCAGATATCCTCTTTCTGAGGGCCCTTTCCGTTTGAAAGCTCTGTGTTGGTAGTTTCATGTTAAAACTTTTGATCCAACACAATGAAGTTCTCTCACTTAGAGCTTTCGGCCAGTAACTCTGGTCTTCCTCAGTAGACTTTGACCCAGTGTTGACGTCACACTTTAAAGAAGCCATGTGACAAGCCTCACTGGGTCAGTCTACTGAGGAAGACCAGAGTGACTGGTCGAAAGTTCTTTGTGTTGGATCAAAAGTTTTAACTTAGACATACATGAGCCTCAAAGTAGTCATACATGTGACGTCAATTCATGCTGCTTTTTATGATGTGAATAGTTTATCTAAATATTGCAACCTTTTCTTTTAAGTGCATGGCAGCAGGGCTTATAAAAAAATGGATGCTGAGTTGCAACTGAATCACAATTTCTTTCAGAACCATCTACACAATATCTACAGTGTACTAGATAGATTTTAATACTACATGTAGTTCATAATCTGTCAAAATATTAACATTACTCACTGTATCTTTCTTGAAACATTTCATTTTCCAGTAACCTCCTCTCATGTTGCATTCATCCTCCCTGGAACAGGAAAAACATCAACAACAACAAAAATTAACCTTTTTAAGTGGTGCCATAGAGGCAGACATTTCCTTTTCAGTGAAAGTGCAGAAAAATACAATGTAGTATTTGAGCCCTGTAGACTCACTCACATTTAGACATTTAGGTAAATTTTTGACCTACCAAATCGGTCTGCGTTCTTCTCTCATGAGGTGGTAACCGTAGCGATCTTGGATCTCCGAGACATCAGGAATGTTGTTGAACACCCCCCAGAAACTCTGCAACATTTAGGAAGTTACACACAATCATAAAAACATATTTTACACATACTGGGTATTATAACATGGCACAGCATATCATTATGCTCGCCCAAGGCAATGCCAAAAAGAACAGAGCAAGAAGAAGACAGCATGTCATAACAAGCTGCCAGGGAGTCCAAAATCTAATCAGTTAGATGTCTAATCAAGACCTACCCACCTACTTAATATAAAGACAATCCATCTTAGCCTTCTTGAGTTATCGTGTTCACACACACACAGATACACGAACGCCAACGAAAACATAACCTTCTTGGCGAAGGTAATAACAGTTAACTTAGAGTGTATGCTGTAATGGGGATTATGACAATAACAACAGTGTTTTAGGATGCCAGTTTGGTGAGTGAGCTGCTTACCTCTACTGTGTTGACAGTGTAAATCTTTCTCAGGTTGGCCTCATACTCTGCTGCTGTCGCTCCTCTTACTGACCTGGGAGGAAAAACAGAAGAAGAAAAACACTGATGATCACCAGTTGAACAGAGCAAAGACTAGTGCAATAGGCGTGTACCGGTACGTAGTGGTGTTTAGGGAGTTGTTGGTTCTAACACTGGAAATATACAATGCAGCATCAGCCATCTGTAATTCTAATTCCTGAGGTCAGATATTCAGGTGTTCAAGACATCCTTGAGACCTCGAGTCAATAATACGAGATATAACATTAATCATGTTGTGACCAAATATTTGGATTGGCACACTATTATGTATGTATCTAACAATTATATATATATATACCATTGTTAAGATATTTGTATGCTAGACATGCAGACAGACAAGAGAGTAGATACATCATTTCACTGCTAATGATGTTTGAGTCACCATGCTGTGCTGATATAGGAAATATACCAGCAGTAGGATCATCATAAAACAGCGCCAACTCTCATAATTATGCCAAGCACCCAAAGACTGACACTCTTTTAAAAATTTGTTATTGAGGCCTTCTCAAGAATGTGTTGAACACCTGTTTTATAATTTGTGGTTCATTTTAAAAGAAAGGCATCTTTTCTTTTTTTGCCCACTTTTTTTTTCGTGCTAGATTGCAATACATTTGGAGTCTACAGTATAGAGGATGTCATCCATAAAATTTACTTGCTGTGGCCATGTAGATACTGTTGTAGAGTCTAGACTTTCTACCCTATATGTAACCCGACCTAGCTCACAACTTCCATATATGTCTGGACCCATTCTGTGGAGTTCATGACCTCACCCTTGGCCTTGGCTCTCTAGTATTTGCTCCCAGAAATGAGACCCAGTCTAAATTTAACTTGTCAGGTCACAATCAAGTCTACAGTATGGCCTAGTTATAGGAATAATAGGTAAAAAAAATGACTTCAATAGTTACAAATGTAATTTGTTAGATATAATTGGGTGCTATTTTGCAAAAATTTAATACTAGTATAAGAATATGTAATACAGGGTTGAAATTTTTCTAATCTTCTCAACAACAGAAAATGCTTGTATTAACTTAGAATATACATGTATCTCTGAAGCTTTCATAACTCTTTAGGCATCAGAATTCAAGAAGGCCATCTCAAGTTTGACAGCTACAGTAGAATAACCAGTCTAATTAGGTGTCCCCAAAACTGGAACAGCTCGTCTCACAGTCTCTCAGACAATTAAGTTCCAGACAATACAAGTTACAACCTTCCGGCTCAACTGTCTACCCAAAATACATCAGACTTCAAGTGTGAAGTACTGTAGACAGAGCACAGTTTCAAGGAGACAGATCCAGTACAATGTATTTGCATTTCAGTGAATTGTTGCTCAAGAGATATTTTTTATCAACTCAAATAACATCTATTGTGTATAAAAAATAATCTCACAGGGGAGAATTCAGAAGAATACATATAAATATATTTTCAACACCAGAATTAGTATTTTGAACCCTGTAAAGTTTTAAGATTATCTTTCTATTATACCGGTATTCAGTGAAAATATTTTGTGCTGAATATCCCATACCTACACAGTACCAGTTTAGATGATGTCCATCTGACATCCGTATACTAGTATATAAACAGCTTGGACTGTTGATGTCACAACAAGAAGTGGTATTTACCGTCATGTTTTTGCCAACTATGACACATTTCTACAAGATCAATACAATACAACTTTACTAATAAACATTCAGGAGAGAGCATTAGCTACTTCTGACTAGTATATTATATTTATCATACAAATGTATAATGATAATCTTTCTTGTCATGTTGCCAAGAGATAAAAGTCCTAATCTTAGACTATAAATAAATAGATGTTGAACACAACTGTTTTTAATAGGTGTGCATGTACAAAGGTCAGTCCCAAGGTATGCTGGCAATTCTTTTTGTTAGGATTGGTTCTTGAGGAGGGCATAAAGATGAATAGAAAGGTCCACAACCATAAAATAGCATCAAGATTTGCATGATAATACAAAATAGTATAATATTGTATATGATATAGAATTGATGGGGATAGATCCTGTGAGAGGGGATGGGACTATAAAAAATTATCCTGAAACACCCCCAAATTAAAATGGATGAGTCAAAACAGTTCCCAGTCTCATCAAGGAGCTTTCAGGTCTCATGTAATGAGACAGGTGTGTGGACTTCATTTAAATAAAATATTGTTTCATTTTTTGCGAAAAAGTTCAGTACCGCATGAAAGATGCACTGTTGATGAAATATGTCAAGCAAGCTCTATTAGATAGGAGATAGTGCCTGAAGATAGAGTTTCTTTTTTGCCTGGCAGAATATTGTTATCCAATATTCCCAGTGCTCTTGGGCATGTATGTTCTCACACATAAGAAGTCCCTGTGGAATTCAAATTGTACTCCCTGGAAATACTGTACAGTTAGTCAGTAATCTGTTTTAGTGTGGATGTATTTTCATAGTGTTTGAAGTTCACCATGGAAACAATCATTAAGTAGCAGTTATGATATAATGAATCAAAAACATATTTGGGAAGTCATAATTTCGTGCTGGAGAGGTCACCACTGAAATAAAACCATATTGATGGTTCCACGTATATTGACATACGTGCATATGTTTCCCCCTCAAAGCCAGTTTGATTTCAACTTCAAAGATAATAAAATATTATCTGATATTAATTTTGGTATGGGATTTTTTTAAGGCATCAGAAAGCATCAACAGTTGTTGGCAACATAATTCATAATCCCTACATTGTGTCAAATGTTAATGCAGTAAATGCACGTATGTTGTGGACTAAAAAAAAATACGGAAACAGGTGGCTGGCTTTTAACAGTTGCATGCTGTTGTCAACTATTCACTTTTCGATTTTTTATCCTTTTATCAAAATAACAGAATTTTCAGTTAGAGTCTGAAAAACTAACTTAACATTGTTCAGTCAGAATTAGCTGCAGGGGAAAGTCAACAGTTTTGTTGACTTGCTCTACTTTATGGTCGCCCCTTCAGGACATATACTCCGATGACGTCCGTACTGATCAAACTTAACTAAGAACAAACAAGAACATCCTAGAAATGCAGAAATCTTAAAGCTAACAAAGATCATTTAATGTACAGTATGTTGTGTTATCTTATACGTCAAAGAACATCACAAACGGCCTTGAATTTATTATTTCAACGCTGAAGCTAAATATCAATATACACAAGACAAGTAAAACAGCATGTAGTGATGATGTACCTCCCCAAAAGCAATATTTTCCCCAATGATTTTTCCCCAAATCAATTATTTTGGATAAGAATGTTACAAAACAAAATCATAGATTATTAGTTTTAAGCCATAAACAAATGATGATGATGAGACCCATTGACATCTCATCAGGGGTAATAATATACCGGTAACAGTAAAAAATACAACGATTTTCGAAGCCTTTCACGGACAATAGATTTCCCCACCACCTTTCATTCTGTGCGCCCATTCGGTCTGAAACATTCTCCATTTCTGGAGCAATGCCCCACTTGTGAACAAAGACATTGTACTCTGTGGGGACAGAAACACAATACTGCTGGCCAGCATATGTAGACTGATCACCCATTTCTGTAGCCTGACCAGCTGACAGGGATCAGCTGAGACATTAACACACAAATCACGAACAGACCTATGTGGTCTTTGCTGAGCAATCTGGCCTGCAGACAATGACAACCAATGTGTCTTTCCATGGATGAAAAAAATGGTTTACTTTTTAGGCGCTTCTTGGAATCCGTAAATAATAACCTGTGCCCCCTTGGGGGCCTGGTTACCCAGACCAGCTGGGTCATTAGCATACAAATCACAGAGCTAGGTGGTCTTTGCTGAGGAAAAAAAAATTGAGGAGTTACTAGTATAATGAGTATTTCCCTGGACAAGGATAAGTTTTATTGTAAGAACTCATTCTTGGGAATTCTCTGAAGAGAATGTTTTTCTTTCCTTGGGATTGACGTCTTAGTTACTTAGCATGATTTGAGTCATCAGCATACAAATCAAAACCAGAGCTAGGCGGTCTTTGCTGAGGAAAAAAAAAACTGCAGACGACAGCCACCCACGCGTATTTTCTAAGAAAATACGCCACATACGGACAAATGTTAAGGCTAATTCCTGGAATACGTGGAAAACTGGCGTCTTGGTTACCTGGCCAGCTGAGCTTTTGACATGCAAATCACGTGAGCTCACGATCACACAAAAACAAACAAAACATGGACCCGTTGTTCGTTCGTTACCAAACTACCTAAAGAAAACACCGGTACATCACGTAGCAAAAACACTACGAATACTCCTGCAAGAAGGATAGATTGACACAACCGTATGACAAAATCTCGGCAATCAAAACGAGCTGGAAGAAAAAAAAACAAGCCCAGAAACGTCAAATATTCGAGAAAGCGCACTCTCAGTCAAACTACATCAAGTGCGCAGTTAGGTAGCGTTAGCTAGCTATAGCGGGTCCCGCCAGAATTCGCCGCCGTTTTTAGCCACTCACTTGTCCAGCCAGAAGGTCCAGGCTGTGTTGAGGGGGATGCCTGTCTTCTCGTTTCTCTGGATGCCGTCTATGGCGGCTCGGGCGAGTTTGGGGGAACTGCCTGGCACCGGTGGTTCGGGACTCTGCAAAGAATCGACTGTCGACGCCGCCATCTTGGCTCGGGACAGCCACGTCACGTGATAAAAACAGACTGACGTCAAAAAGTCTGAAAAATCGACGATGCGGAACACGCAGACGCCGTTTTCTTGTTTATGAGTCCCAAAAGACATCTTTGTCCCCCGAAAATATAATAAACTTAATGTAATAGATATATAACATAGCCAAATAGCGTTCAAACTTTGTCAGATGAGTTTAGAGACTGAGCTATAAAGGAAGAGGACCTCCTTCCTCCAAGCAGAGGTTTGGTTTTACGCAGACGACGTTTTCTTGTTTATGAGTCCCAAAAGGCATCTTTGTCCCCTGTAAATGTAATAAACGTAATGTAATAAATATAACATGTTATAACATAGCCAAATAGGGTTCAAACTTCAGATGAGACTATCACTCCAAGCAGAGGTTTTGGGTTACGCAGACGACGTTTTCTTCTTTATGAGTCCCAAAAGACATCTTTGTCACCTGAAAATGTAATAAACGTAATGTAATAAATATATAACATAGCCAAATGGGGTTCAAACTTTGTCAGATGAGTTTAGAGACTGCCTCTCCAAGCAGAGGTTTGGGTTTACGCAGACGACTTTTCCTTCTTTATGAGTCCCAAAATACATCTTTGTCACCTGAAAATGTAAGCTTACGGGGTTTCTTATTTGCACTGGAATTTTGGGTGAAAAAAAAAACATGTTTGGGTGAAAAAAAAATCCAGTGCAAAAAAACGCCAATAAAAAGCCTAAAAACACGCGAAAAATAACCCAAAACCCAAACCTTTGCTTGGAAAGTAGCAGATAGCCGACAACCGACTAACTTCACCGGTCACCAAATCGTTTAGCGCAATACAGAAAAATGATTGATCATGATTTGCTAAAGTTAACGTTAACGCGGGGTTGAATTGCTAACCTTATGTAGGGTGTAATCTTTTCGAAAAGATTCTAGAAAGTTGATTCCTCGTCTATCATAACGTTTCCACCAAGTTTCGTAGATCTTAGCTACGGTTATTTCGTTGAAAATGCAAAGAAAAGGAATGAACTAATTTGAAGACCAGGTTATCTCTTGAACAAGTCACAACTGTCTCCTAGAATCAATCTCCAAGCAGATGCGTGGTTTCGGCTTTGTTTACACAACTGTTGCGCCATTTAGATTGGCAGGGAGTGAGGTTGAAGATGATGATGTAACCGCAGAAAACTAGGGGGAGATGTTGTAACCGCAGACTGACAGGAAGGTCAAAATGGCCACCATGTAGGCTGGGAGGAAATGAATGCCTGCAATGTCTCATCATGCTCAAGCGAAAAGTCGTGCAAACACAAGATCTAAACCAAACATCTGCTTGGAGATAAGCGGCGAAAACCTTTGTTGTTCACAAACCACCTGTAAGTCACCTGGGCGACCTTTGACCCGCATGATGTACCATAATCATATGACATCATCACGTGCTCTCTCTGTACAACTTGGCGTGTCCAACATGGCGGAACTCTGGCAAGTTCTCCTCCTTTCCCTGCAAGTTCTGGCGTTCTTTCTGCCGGGAGCCCAGGCCTTCGATGGCGGGGACGCTGTGGCACTCATCCTGGGTCTGATCATCGGGATTTTGGGGATCTGTGCGTGTTTAGGATGCTACGCTAGGAGGAGAGCGGGCGCATAATCACCACAGAGTCCGCGCCACAGATTCACCCCCTCCCCAACACCTTCCAAATTCGACGTCGCAGATTTCCAAGCGAACGCGGCAAAAATGCAGTTTGAGCAACGACAAAAAAATGACAACTTGTGATCAAGACTGTCGAGACGTTATATTTTCATATCATTGAAGATGGAGCCTCTGGAACAAATTTGCAGCTTCGAAGAGAGAAGACCAAATCCAGGAGGACGCAGTCATGGAATTTAGGAGAAGAAGAAACAAACCGCCAACCTGTTTTGACAACAACAGCCACTGTTTTCACAAAATCTTCAACAACCCATACTAATTCCGTAATACTGAGGAACCAGGATTTTCATAAATCTTCCGTCTCACTCTCCAAAATCAACAACACTGAACTGATACGCATCAAAATTTGCCCCCACAGTCACCCGTGTGAACAGAAACTGTACTTTGGTGACCACAAGAACTACATGAAGAAAGTATAAGAAGCAAGTGGATCTCTTCAAGAAAAGAAGGCTGTTATATGAATTCTCCATCATTCAAGAACGCTTCACAGAATAGAAATCGAAGCTGCAACTGTGTGATATGACAGTAGGGCATTGATTGAGTTTGAACTATTCATGGTCCAACTTTTCCATATCCATGCTTTGTATTTTGTTATACAGGGTGTCTATGCATACTGTAAATTTTGAAATGTTTGCAGTGGCTTATTTTTGTGGAGAAATCATGACTGAGTATGCATTTCCAAATATGTAGTATCCTTCCAACTGCAAACACCTTTTCGCATCCTACTTGAAAATTTGAGTCCAGGAAAAATTATGTTCACACGTATGCATAGTGTCACATGGCAAGAACAAAATCTTTTGATATTGTGAGATTGACATAATATCAGATTTGTGGTTATATTGTGGTGTGTCTATGTGCCAGCTTTTAAAGCATGTTGGTTTCATACTTCATTGTTGACATGTCAACATATGTCATGGAGTTTAACCTCCTTGCATATATGTAGTTCAGCCAAACACATTATCCAGCTAGTAAGGGGAAAGCCATTCAATAAGCCACGCATGGTTTCGACTATGCAAGAATTCATTCCCCTTTGAAAAAGGTATACTGTTTTGAAGAAACCAACCAAAAAACAAAGTTACTGTGGGTTTTTCTCAAGTCGCCATCTTCAATTATATGAAACCAGTCTTTTTGTCACAGTGGATAATCAAAGTACTTTGTATTTAGGCACTTAATTATTTTAGTTCATGATTATGATATGAAAAATATTGAAAGACAATAAGCGATATACTATAATGTACACATATGAATATACAAGTAGTCCATATTTTGTAGTGGTATGATATGTATCAATATGCAATGTATTTTAGGCTGATTGAGCGAAAAGAGATTTTTGTTAGAAATTGATACATGAAAAAAATACCAGCATGGTGTCAATTTTCGGCAAATATTTTGTCAGAAATGGTGAGGATTTATATATAAAAGTGGGTGAAATATTTTTGATTTTGGTCATAGGTAAAATTGAAATCATTTTAATTTTTAGTATGACGAGGTCTGTTGTGTAGTATTCTATGCTTAGTTTTTCTAACATGTACATGAAGACATGAAAATCTATAACATAGACATGTTTTGAGCACTTCTTGAGGCACCAACTTGTACTAGAAGTGTACTGTTCGGTGCTTGGCTTTTTCTAGTGCAAGGTTGTCAATATGCATACTTTCTATCATATCATGTTAACGTCAATACTCATAATTCTGCCAGTTACCCTGAGATTGCCACAGTAAAAGGAAATGTGAATTTAAAGAGGTTTACTTATGCAGCAGCATCAACCCCAGATGCACACGTTCAAGACATCCTTGAGAAAACACTATTTGTTAATGTGGTGTTCTTTGGGTCCCTGGTGAAATCATGAGAGTTGACGATAGTGCTAGGATAGCACTTGCTAGTACATGTACTTCATTGCAAAGAATGCTCTGCCTTAGATCTATACTACTGATATGCTTGTCAGAAACATTCCTACAACTTAGATTCTTCTCACTTACTGAACACAATACGACAATGTATGGGCTAGGCTCATGATGACAATAAGATGACAGTAATAATATTCATTAAAAATGGAAATATTGTGAACTTGCTTGAAGCTGTTATCTATTTTGTTTTAGTTTTTATTTTCCTTTTTTTAAATCCCAATACATACACTTACAGAATGTGGTAATATTGTACATGCAAATTTTGAAATCTTCCAAATCATCAGGGAAAAAAAGGCAAATCTGACAAGTTGAATATTAAATTGGTGTGTCCTAAGCTTTGTTTACAGTGCAGATTATGAAACCGTCTCAAAAGCGACATCTTGCAAAATACTTTGCAACTGCATGTCAAAAGAGCTGGCTGTCAATTGAAATGAAAATCAGACAGCACATAGTGGCCAGCTTTACTGATATGGAAAGTGAGTAAATACTCTACACAAACGTGCTTCCTTCAGTATCCAGACAAGACATAAATATCTTGTGAGACTGTGAACACAAATCAATAATACCAAAAAACCGTGGTGTGCATGATAAAACTGAAGATGCATATGTAACTGGATATAGCACCGCGCGATTTTGGCGCTGTGGGAAAGGACACAGCCTTACAGAGTCGACATAGATCATCGTAAGTGTCACCTTGTTATAGTACTAGTAACATTCTTTCCAGTCAAGTTCAAGTATCCGAACATGTAGAACCAATCGCAACATGAACTGGCGGCAGACGGATCCCAAACTTCGCAGTTAGTAGAGCACAACCTCCTGTCTGAACCGACCAGTTTCTTATGTCTCAGAAATTCACAACGATAAAAGGTAGGTATATGTTTCTGTCATTTTTGCTTAATCTGGGTATAGATCTTGATTATATATCTATGTTTTCGAATTTGGAAACGACCAGTTTATGTGGCTGACATCATTGTGAAGACGAGGTATGTCGGCAGCATAATGTTTAGAAGTCCTCTCCCAAAACAAGCTGAATGTCAAGAGCAACGCAGGACTTGTAGTACACGATGTCGAACATGAGGGTCTCCCTAAACGTTTCAAACTTTCTTGTTCTGGTCAGTGAAATAACAATATTGTTCTCGGCGTGTCTGTCTTTCTGTCTGTCTGTCTGCTTGTGTGCGTGTGCTCAATTTCCCATTTCTTTTGTGGAAACGTTTCGGAAACTACACTATCTACCTAAGGTGTTAGAAAGAGCCGCTGTCGCTTGCAAGAAAATGACACGACAATTAAGATTTGTAAATAAGCTTTATGATTTATAGTCATACCTCTAAATGCTAGTTATGCGGCTATCTTCCTGGTAAGGCCCCCTGCTTTTCTGAACGACCCCCCAAGTTCATGGTGGTTACTTTTATGGACACACCCAGTAGTCTAGACAGATCATGATTTCACCAGCAAGATTCCTTGCCCATTTGTGACCAATTGTTTAGACTCGACAAGGCCATTAGAATAACAAAAATGTTTTAAATGTTGTAAAGCAGATGCATGTTTACCTTCACATGGTCAAGCCTAACAAACTGCTGCTCCGTTTTTACACTTTGTCAAGGAACGAGAAATCCACCGCTTCTGTGACATCAAATTTTGTAGAGTCGGTAATCGGTCATCATAACTCTTTAGACAGATGCTCCAGGAGGACCACCCCCTACATGACCTCGTCCCTGTCTCTAGAGCTAACGCTACTGGACGCTCTCTTAGGAACAAGAACACTATATCCATCCCCCCAGCCAGAACAAAAAGACTCCAGAACTCGTTCCTACATCAGTCTATCAGACTATACAACCAGACTGTGTAAACGTGTCATATCTGGGATGCCCTGTTGATTTAATGTATATATTTTAATAGTATGTATATATGTGTAATATATGTTATGTACTTATCTTGCTGTTATTGCTGTAAATACCAATGCCATTCAGGCAACACATATTTTTGTATGTCTGCAACGTTGGTATGAAATAAAGAATTGAATAAGTCGCAGAAAGTCTATGGCGTTATCCGTCTCTGGTATGGGATGATTGCAAAGCCAGTATTTAGCCTCCTGCACTCCTCCATTTCAACATGCTTCTCTTGTTCTTCTGCTAAGGTGCCTTAAAGATGATCAAAGAACAGGAAGGTCTTGGAGATGAAAGAATCACAGGAAGTGAAGACATTGTCTTCCTCAAAGACGCCTACAATGGGTGGAGATGGCAAGATCAGCACCATGGACAGAGACTTCTCCGTGGACTCTACCGTGTTGGCGACGATCGGTTCAAGGAAGAGTTCACCGCCATCCTGAAAAAGTATGGGCTGGACAGGAACCTGAAATCAACATCGGTAGTTCATGTGCTGCAAGAGATGAGTGAAACCCGGGAAGACTTGTGCGACGTGGTGTTACGAGTACGGGACGAGTACGGGAGGGTGAGAGAGGCCGCGCTGTGCCACAGGGCCGTTCTCGGCGCCTGTAGTACGTACTTCAACGCGATGCTGTTCGGGGGGTTCCGCGAGGGACAAGCCGGGGAAGTCACTTTCGAAGACATCTCTTGCGAAACACTTCGCCAGCTTGTGAACTACGTCTACACCGGTGTCGTCACCTTCACTGCGAGGAACGTGGAACTGTTTTTCCACGCGAGTTCGGTTTTTAACCTGCCTTTCCTTGCAAACGCGTGCTGCCAATACATGCTGCAGAACATAAGCAAGAGCCATTGCCTCGGGCTTTTCCACTTCGCCAAGACCCACTTTTGCGAGGAGCTGGCCAGAGAGGCTAGGATGTTCGCTTTAGAACATTTGCAGGATGTGGTTTCGTATGGCGACATTGAAGAGTTGACGGCTGATGAACTGGAAGAATTGCTAAACGACAACAGTGCTCACATGTGGGGCGAGGAATCGTTGCTGGAAGGCGCTATACGGTGGCTGTTTTCCGGCACAACCAACCGAGAAACCGACCTACATTCTTTACTACAAAAGCTTAACATTGACCTTACGTTGGTAAACAAAGGCTATCCCAAGTTCATCATGGCAACAGAGTTTGACATAAAGAATTCTGGAAGATGCAAGGACGTCCTGGAAGATGCCGTGGAGAAGATAGAGGCGTTGGAGTCAGCGGTAACTGGACATAAACTCGTGCTACAGTTTGGAGGGATCAGCGGGAGCGAGCTTGCAGACCATAGTGGCAAAAGGATAACTACGGTCGACTGCTTCAACTGTGAAACCAACGCCTGGGCAACCGTCACAGAGCTACCACAGCGACTGCTTCATGCGCACCTCAACACAACCGTCTTAGAGAACGACGTGTACATCGTGGCAACGTTTCCCGGGGGTGGAAGAAAGGAGAGCGAAGTGTGGAAGTACTCGTGCATGCACGACATCTGGCGGCGTTTGCCCGATCTGCAGGAGCCGCACGGTTGGGATTTTGTCGTCCAGGCCACTGACAAGAGGGTGTATGCCCTTGGAAACGGACGGACCCTAAAGTCATCGGGAAAATGTTACGAAGCCTTCGACCCTACTGCTAACAAGTGGGGGCGAATCGAACCTGTTCCGCAGACTACCGAGAAAGCCTGCTCCGCCGCCTGTATGGGGAAACTCTACGTTATGGGACACTGGGGAAACGGACAAGCCAAATTCCTCGTGCACATTTACGGCCAAGAGGGTCAAAGTTGGCGAACGCAAGTGTACCCTGCGTTCCACGGATGCAAGATACAGTATCACACAGCAACGCTAGGGGGCATGATCTACATGATGCCGCTATTGGCCACACGACAGGACTTCATGTGCGCGTTCAACACTGAAAAGAATCTGTTCCAAAAAGTGGTCCTGCCCACGAACAAGCGGTTGCAGTGCGGTATGGCTGCCACAGACGATAGCATCGTCGTAACAGGCGGGAGAGACCTACTGTCTAACGCGTACGCTACTGGGAACGTGGAGTTGTTTCGCCCAGCGGAGGGATGTTGGAAGGTTGTAGGGAGAAAGCCGGGTCTGATACGAAGAGGTCACACGTGCGTGACGGTCAATAGCCCTGGCTGGATGCTTGACAAGTTGGACAAGGCAAACGGCAAGGGAAACATGAACGCTAACGAGGATAGCGGTCATGATCATGACTGCGAGATAAGAGAACAGTCAGCCTGACTGAAGAGCGCTCCTAGCGGCCTTAAGACGCTAATGCCTCAGTCTTTGTAGTTTCCAAACACAGAAATTCCGTTAACGTCCTCGAATGTCCAAACGATGCTCTAGGTTTGCTGTTGCGAAGGCCGCTTAAAAGGATAGCTGGCAATGACAACGTAATACACGTAGCAACAAAAGAATGCAATTGTTCGAGCAAACACTTTACTGCATTTGCTGTGCCCTGATTGGATAATTTCCATTGACCAATGAAATCTGAGAGTATTTCTTGCAGTAAATCTCGTAAACGAAAATGACCAATCGTAGAAGGTGCATTTTTCTGACCAATGAAAACGCCAGGATTCTCTTCAATCGACCAATCACAGACCGGCAATTCCTTATTACGAATTCCGCACCTGTGGCGAACTAACATTTATCAGCACTCACCAGCCGCTTCCCTTGTCAGTCGATTCCACATTCACCTAAGACCTCACCCGTCTCTCTTCTATCGACGACGCATCGTGAGCCGAAATGTCTGGACGCGGCAAGGGAGGCAAGGGGCTGGGGAAGGGAGGCGCCAAGCGTCACCGTAAAGTTCTGCGCGACAACATCCAGGGCATCACCAAGCCCGCCATCCGCCGCCTGGCCCGACGAGGTGGCGTGAAGAGAATCTCGGGGCTCATCTACGAGGAAACACGCGGTGTTTTAAAGGTGAGAACCGAGCCCCTTACGTTCAAGTGGTTTACTTTCTAATTAAAGAACAACAGAAAATTACTGGGAATTTGTAAGTAGAATGACGATGATTGTACTGAAAACGCTAATAGCTGCTTTATCACTCTTGGCAATCACGGGGAATGTTCTACCTCATGTCGAATATGTCGAAGCAAAGGCCTGAATTGAAGAACGGTTGAAATGCAGTTAACCTCTTGTTTATGTATGTTAAGAAACGTTTACTTCAGTTATTCCACTTCTGTACAGAGCGTTTTCAATTGGTCACTGACGTACAGTACCGCCATAGTCCGTTTATCACGGCGTGAAAATGTCTACTGTATTCTGATTTTGATTTGACTCCACCCAGGTGTTCCTGGAGAACGTGATCCGCGACGCCGTCACCTACACCGAGCACGCCAAGCGGAAGACCGTCACCGCCATGGACGTGGTATACGCGCTCAAGAGACAAGGGCGCACGCTCTACGGCTTCGGCGGGTAGTACAGCAAAATTTACATTGCGCAACAAACTCCAAGGACTACGGAATCAGACTCTGGATGATCTTGGGGGGGATGATATCGATGGAAGCCATATCTGTTCAATTCACCTTGCGCAAGAAACGTCGCACTTGTAGTTGTACTGCTGATTTTAAAGATAGCGAATGTTGAAACCGATATTGCATGTTATCTGTGTGCGTTAAACTTTTGTTGTCTACTCTAGTTGGAAAGAACGCAATAAAGTGACGTTTTACTGGCTTTGCACTGGTTAACAGTTTGTCCTGCGTCTAATTTGCGATTACGGTGCCGTTAATTAAAAATGCAGTAACGTCAACTTCGTTACACCGGGTACCCGAAGACTGGGAAATAAAATATATATGAAAAGTTGTATCCGAGATACGCACACGACAGATATCCTGGTGCCTCAAAAACACCGTTTTTTTATAATTAAGTATGGCGGTCTTAGGGTACGTGGTTAGAAACTAATACAGTAACTTTCCAAATGGCAACACAATACTACAGATCATTTTGTTCAGTTACGTGCGAGACTGAGGTGAAAAAAGTTGAAAGCATACCAACTACTAGTATCATACATGACAGACACTTTGCGACGGTCAATTCTATTGTTTATCGTTCAATACCTGTCCACTGAGATGTCTATACGTATTGTACACATCTTTTCACATTTTAACAGTTACATACATGTGTCGCCATTTCATGTTTGAATGCTGTGTTAAAGTACAATTTGTAGTATTTTTGGGAAGCCAAACTACACTCAGTTAATTCAATCAATACATTGCAAAAAAAAAATCTTAAAACGATTCATTCTACAAAACGATTTATCCTTCTTTGTCTTCCCAGAAACTGAAACTTTCTCAAAGGAAGACATACAACTACTTAGTCAAATACATGTAATACATTTCCATCACTGCAGAATTGTGGCTAAGGTCTTTCAAGGGTCAAGGTCCTCTGAACTCTAGGCAAGTGAGGGACCTTGAACTTTGACCTAGACCACAATGCATCAGGACTGCACACATGCCCATCCTGAACTATGAGGTGGTTTATTAAAACAACCTGGAACCCTACAGAGAAAGTTTTACTGTCTGAAACCCTAAAAAGATACTGGACTTAATCCATTACTCTTATGTATTCCATCAAACTGTCTACTGCAAGCAATGCACTTCCCATTACAAGCGGCATTTGCATGATTTTAAACACTACATTTCACAAGTCACCCAAATAATGCAAACTCAATTTTTTAGTATGGGAAAAAATAAACAAGATGCTTCAAGATTTTTATCACCAAATGAGGCAGTTTTGTTTTCTGGGAGGTACTGTCTCTTCAGGCAAGAAAGTACAGAGGTTGAGGTTTTCAAAAGCAAGACATTGTCTAAAGCAAGTCATAGTGTAGTTGGTGTTTATATTGTTATTTTACTTCAAGTTAAGAAGGTTTGGATTGTCTGTTGTGACTATATCTGCAATTCCTGTAACGAATCTTGACCAAAATTAGTTAAATCACAAGTTTTACATGTCTATAGTTCTCTCAATCCTCCAAGTCACATGATCAATACTTGCCCTTATTTGGCAATCCTATGTATGGTACTGCTGCATCGTGGGAAGTAAATACAATCTATGGAGCATCCATCCAAGTAACCTGTTCTTTCTTACAGACTTGTTCTTATTCACCAGAAACTGTGTTGTTACATTGAAGTCAACTTATCTCTATCACAAAAATACAGAGTTATGAGTTAACAAGCATATAGCAAACATCAATGACCAGTCTATACTGATCTAAATGTTTGATACTGTACTGTTTGGTACCTCAAACTGTAGAAAAAGAGGCAAACTACAACCTTTGGCCTTTGACTGCAGCTCTGACCGCAAGCTAGGGGGCAACACCCGAGCACTTAAAATAGCAGGCATTTTATTTTTTTGCAGGTCAGAAACAAGACAAATCTTTTCTACACTGTTCTTAGTAGCCATCCCCTCTGCTGATGACTTCCCAAGTAACCATACAAGCTGTAGTACCAGTAAGAGAAGCTAGGGGGCAGCACCTGAGCCCCTATGCATTTTTTTGCAGGTCAGAAACAAGTTGAATCTTTTCTACAATGTTTTTAGCACTACTTAGTAGTCCTGCCCCTGCTGATATCTTCCTAAGTAATCTGTGAAACTGCAGTACCGGTAAGAGGCGCTAGGGGGCAGCACCTGAGCACTTAATGCAGGCATTTTTTGTTTTGCAGGTCAGAAACAAGTCAAATATTTTCTACACAGTTCTCAGCACTAGTAGTCTTCTACACTGTTTTTATTTAGTAGTCATCCCCCCTACTGATAACTTCCTTGCACGTGGGCCTGAGCATGATGGTGTGCTCGAACTGCGCGGTGTAGCAGCCCTTGACGTCGCAGAGCGGTGGGTACGGGTCCACGATGCCCGCGTCGCACAGGTTCTTGAGCGCCATGAGGTACTTGGTCTGGCCGAGGCGGTCCAGCCAGCGGCGACAGAACGCCAGCGTGCCGAAGTTCTGGTTGATCACGCCCAGGAGCTGCTTGGCACGCTGCATTCTGGGTGGACAAGAGATTCAGGAAAAAACTGTGGTTAATCTACATGTAGATTTAAGGTATGGACAGGGCAATGAGCGTTCAACTTCAGTCCCCAGAAGTGGCCCTTGTGGCTTTGTACTGTTAAAAAAAATCATCTCACCTTGAAGGAGGCATGAATAATCTAGGAAACCCGGGGATACGCTACCCTGGGAAATTTGGAAAGTTTAACCCACTGAAACATCAAAACATTATTTTTCTCATTTCAATGGGCAAATGTCAAATGGTTTCATTTTCTGCCAATTATTTGCGTGGGGAGAGAGACAGTGAAATATGCTGTATGGACAAAAGTAACTAGAAATATAGAAATACACAAGAAATCTCTTCTCTTATGCCAACCTTTGAGGTCAACTTCATCCATGCTATAATGGTAGAAAGAATAATACTTTCATACACAGAAACATATGTCTTGTAAATCAAATATCTGGGACATTTTTGGAGGATGTGTATGGGGTTTCTCACCTGAGTGGTACATGGCCTGCCTCAAAGTTCTTCATGTAGTGGGAACACTCCATGTCATCGTGTACCACCCCCTTCCCTGTACTGCCAAAAGTCTCAATGGCATAGAACTCATTCTCCTGCAAATAGAATCAACTTTCATTGGTGAGAAGATACAGCTCGGCTTCACAAATGTTTTGCCTCCTGTCACTGGGCTCAAATCACATTATTTGTTAAAAGGTGTACAGATTCACTCCTGTGATTCCTACCTTTTACAAATAGTCTTGTACCCGTTAATAGAGAAGCAACTGGAATTTGGATAATCACCCTATAAAATAAGTGGATACTCTGACTGGCTCAAATTCACACAGTCCTTTCAACAACATGGTAATAATAGGGATAGAGTAAACACTTCACAGTTCAATCCCAGTTATAATGCTTCTGAAAAATACTTGATGCTCAAAATGATGCAGGACACAAGGACCAAATGTTTCCATGTGGAGGGGGCCAGTCTATTCTGCAGAGAGGTTACAAGATAAGCCACCCAACTAGAATACCAGCAGGATAAATACTAGACTTGTCCTCTCAAACTTCCAAGCCTACGACACGTAACGTTACCTCCATTCTTGTAGCATCGCCTCCCTTGACGATGGGCACAGTCTTTCCGGCGTGGATTCTGTACGGGGCGATGGAGTGTCCATTCAGGTTACGGATGGGCTTGACTAAGGGGAAAAGACAAAGTTTATACCGTTAATGTTCAGTTGTGAATGGGACAAACAACTGAGAATTTCTATGTTTTTTTTACATGTACGTTTCTGTACAAAGGTTTAATTTGTTTTTGGTATGTTTGTGTGTTTGCTTGTGTTTTGTAGCTACATGTACATGCCTGGCATGCCTGGGACACTGACAGGAAGTTAGGTAAAAGGTCCCAGAAAAGGTTATCTCTTTTCCTGTCTTCAATTTCCTACTATGCATGTCCATTGTGGATGGAATCCAGTGGAAAATGCATAGACAGAATCAGCAAGAAATTCAGGATAATGAATAAAAGAATTCACAAAAGATATGTCAAAGAGGTATGAGATCTTAGTTTTTTTGTCTGCACATGTATTGTATATCATATTTACCTGTGTAAGTTTTGCCCCCTAGTTCCACTTCGTATGACTCCATGACTTCCTGTATTCTCTCTCCAATGTCACACAGTCGCACATCAATTCCTGCTTCCTATAAAAAGAGCAAGGTACAAAACTTCACTTTACTTGGCCAAAAAGAAATAAAAAACTCTACACAAATATCTAAGAGCACTGGTGCACATAGTCTAAATATGTTCACAGCTCTAATTTTGGATGCTTTTAATTTGTAAAATTTACTGGGTAAAAACTTTTTTCACTATTCTCCCAAACATCGTTTCTGCCCCCCTCCCCACCTGACCTTGATTCCGGTGTTGGTAGCGTCCTTCACGGCTGCCAGCAGCTGGTCGTACTTGGGGTTAAAGGTCACAGTGAAGGCACAGTCGATGATGTGGCCTGATGGGAAACAGGAGAAGAGACGCAATTTTATGGATGACATCCTCTGAAGACCCCCAAACTAGTGCGCGCAGGCGAATAAAAAAAGATTCCAGCCAAAAATAAAAATGCTACTAAACCACAGGAATACAAAGCTGGTATTGTGAATTTCCGGCAGTACTTAGCGACGTATACGACAAGCTTAAGCCGGCACGTGCAGGCTTTTTGTGGAATTCATGAATCGACACTGTACGTATGTACTGAGTTCTTGAGTCGTGGAGCTTCGGTAGCCTGGGTGCCGTCCTCCAGAGTTACCACTGGTTTCAGTTTGTTGCTAACTACCATGGACTACCCAGGCCCAGAGCCAGAGCATTTGAGGACATGATCTTTTTTTTTTTTTTGAGAACAGGCAAAAATCAATGTGCGCGAATGTCATCCATGAAATTAAGTCAGTGTGGCCTAATCTTCAAATACAGTCCAACCTGCCAGCCAACCATAAGCCACACGACCATACTTCTGAAACATTTCCTTGGTTCAGCCCAGACCAACCACCTGTGTCTGATGTCATCCATGTCATTAACATAATTTATGCAATACTTCACAGTATGCCGAAATGTTGATGTCAATGTCGAGAACCTTGTCACTTTGGTCTGCATGTTCAAGTACTGACACCTTTAAAGGTCTACAAGCAAGAAAATCACTGCCACTAGATTACATACACTAGAAACTGCACTATAATAATAAGGTAGTGAAGATATGACCACAAACATTGGAAATGTACCCAGGTTCATAATGATGTGCCGAATTTCTGAACCTTTACCACTTTTTGTAAACAATATATTATTTTTTGGACACCCATGACTGGCGCTAACAGTTATGGGTGGAAATACAACTAAAAAGGAGTGTTGAACTAGAATTCTTACCCAGGCACATTCATACACCTTTATGGTCAGACAGGAGTTTGAAATACCTCTTGCTATAAAATTGGAACATGATGTAACCCAACATTGGTTACCAAATTACCATGGTGACAGAAGTCTGGTTCAGGTCATTGACCTTATTGGTTTGAACAACAAAAACAATTTGTTTTCCTTCTGAGTTCAGTAAACATAAAAATTGCATGTCAGTCTTGTTCTCAACCAGTGCTGAGTTTGATTTTTGTTTTAGGCAAGCGCCTTTGCCACATATACTAGTAGTATCCCATATGGGGCTTAAGTACAATATGTTTTTCAACACTTGTAGTAGAAGTAAAAATGTGACAGTGGGTTGAGTTGAAAGATTGAATCTGACTACAGTCACTCACTAAATGTGCAAATCATAATTATGATAGAGATAGTGTTTATACACAATCTGCATGGTGGCTGTAAGTGACTTGCCTCTGATGTCATCCACCTCATTAACATAATTTATGCAATATTTCAAAGTATACAAAAAAGCTGGAAGCAACACTACTAACTTCACTGCTCTGGTCTGTATGCTTACGTACTGACAACTTTGAAGGTCTACAAACAAGAAAAAACACTGCCACTAAGTTACAAAAACAAGAAATTTTACTATTATGTAAAGATAACCACAAATAATGCAAATGCACATATGTTGGTAATAATGTTTGAGCCCTTCCACCCACCGCCGACGTCAATCAATTTTGATAGAAGATTTTTTGGACCACCTGTGACTGGCGCTAGCATAGCTGCCTACATGGGTGGAAATTTAACTGAAAAGGAGTTCAGCAAAGTCCACATCAAGATGATTCTGGTTTGTTTTATTGTACGCCCACACCTGATGCCTTGGTGTAGATTCCAAATGTCACCTGCCAAAATGTAATGTTCCAAAATCATAGCCTCCTGTGCAGGCCTCCGGGGGGGGTGGGAGTTTTGATACTGTGTTTTGTAGAATTTTTAACGCGTTCTTTTGCCGGCCATCCTACAACCAGACGTGTACAAACCTCTGGGCGGCTGGTTGTAGGGTGGCTGCAGCACTTACTGTTCGAACGTTCACATGAGTGCCAAAGTCTATCGTCCTAACCACTTCTCTGCGTAACACATCAGCGTAACTTACCTGGTATCCAGTCAATCATGGTTGGGGCATAGGTTCCCCGGTAGGTTTTGCACGATGGGAGATTGATTAGCCCCAACACGATTCATGGTGGGGCAAATCAACTCCCCGCAAGTCTATTAGCAAAGGTACTACTGGGCAGTCTGTTGTACTGGGCGGAGGTAAACTATCAGAGCCCCAAAGACAGCCTCCCCAGCCACTGGATACCAGGCAGGTTATAGTATAACTAACCATTTACATGAGTGCCAAAGTCTATCGTCCTAACCACCGGTCTGCGTAACACCCCAGCATAACTTACCGTTCACGTGAGTGCCGAAGTCTATTTTGCAGACGTCGTCGTACTGCAGCACGGTGTCGTCCCCGGCGTTGGGCGTGTAGTGGGCGGCGCAGTGGTTCAGCGAGCACCCCGTCGGGAACGCCAGACCGCGCTTCAAACCGTCCTCATTTATCAACTTTCTGGAAGCGTCCTCCAGCCTCTGACTGGAGAAAACAGTGGAAAGAGACCTTGCAGTGACGAATGGGAGGGGGCGCAACGAGCGGCGCAATACAGAAGCAGATGGAGAGCAATCATGGCCCGCCTCAGCAGTAGCTGACATGCGGTGGAAGAGAAGAAGAAGAAGTAAGCAACAGGATTTAGGAAACATTGAGGAAGGATAGACACATCTTTGTCATGTTTAAGTGTTTTTTTCCAGTTGCATGCCAGCCAGAGCTTCAAACCGTCCTTAAGTTTATCAACTTTCTGGAAGCATCCTCCAGCCTCTGACTGTAGGCAACAAGATTTAGGAAACATTGAGGAACTATAGACACAAGTCTTTGTCATGTTTAATTGCTTTTTTCCAGTTGCATGCCAGCCAGAGCTTCAAACCATCCTCATGTATCAGCTGTCTGGACGCATCCTCCAGCCTCTGACTATAGGCAGCAAGATTTAGGAAACATCAAATCAAATCTGTATTCAAAATCAACTTTGCAGACGTGCTGATGTCTTCAGACACATCTAAATTGGGTAAAAATTTACAGATAGATTAAAAGCATGTCTGTCATTTGCATGATTAAAAAATTACAATGCAATGCACGTGGGCTTACAAGACATCTTTACCGCAAAATTTTGTAGTGAGCCCTGCACTGCACTGGGTTTAGAAGCAAGATATGTTGTTTGCGGGGCACGTCTGGGCAGAACTATGGCCACATAATTTACTGAGGCCGTACACAGCACTACTCTCCATTCTTCATTCCTACTCACCAGATGTCTATCATGGTCAGCCCCGGCTTGATGAAGGACTGGACGTGGTGCCGAACCTGTCGGTGAGCCTCCGCCGCCTCCCGAATCTCGTTGTACAGGTCCAGCTGGGAACGGTCCAGGGCTTTCTTCTCAGCGTCTGTCGTACGGTCTTTCGCTGAGCGGCTGGAAATAAGAGCAACATTGTTAGAAGCATAAATATTATCTGGAATTATGAAAAATCTCCTGAATCTCGTTGTACAGGTCTAACTGCGAACGGTCCAGGGCTTTCTTCTCAGCGTCCGTTGTACGGTCTTTCGCTGAGCGACTGGAAATACATTTGTTGAAGCAACTTTGTTAACTTTGTTGGAAGCAAAAATATTATCTTGAATTGTGCAAAAAAAACTCGTGAATCTCATTGTACAGGTCCAGCTGGGAACGGTCCAGGGCTTTCTTCTCTGCGTCTGTCGTACGGTCTTTCGCTGAGCGACTGCGAATAGAAGCAACTTCGTTAAAAGGAAAAATCTTATCTTGAAATGTGCAAAAACTCCCAAATCTTGTTGTACAGGTCCACCTGCGAATGGTCCAGGGCTTTCTTCTCAGGGTCTGTTGTCCGGTCTTTTGCTGAGCGACTGGAAATAAAAGCAACTTTGTTCGAAGCAAAAAGCTTGAAATCTTGAATTGTACAAGAACATTTTTACCAACTTTTGCATATAGAACTTAGCATAAATTCTTATCTACTTAGTAGGCCAGAAAGAAATGATTTTTTTATCTCAAAATTTTAGTTTGAGTTTGGGAGAGACTAGTGAATGACTTGTGCTCAATTGAGTTATGTACTTTCAGATCTATATTCATTGATGTAGATCCTATAAAATCAACCATGTTGTCCCAAAGATACAAACATCTTCAAGTATGCAATCACTAAGCAGATAGCAAAAGTTAGTGTATTGTGTGGTAAGTCTTTTCATAAAAATCTGTTCATCAAAGTTGTGACTCACCCGTCCACAGAAACTTCGGGATATTCCATTATCTGTCCCACGGGGAAGTTTCCATCTGGGAAGAGCTGGGAGACAGGAACAGTGGGAGGATCTGTCTGTCCTGACACAGTTTTGGGAGCTGCCCCTCCCTCTGCTGGAGTGGTACCACCCTGTTCACCACCCTGGCCTGATTAAAAGAACAAAAATACAGAATACTAGTAGTAAGTTTCTGATACATAGATCTAATATCCACTAGAAATATCAATATGATCATTAGAAATCTTTAAACTACTCCTGCAATTAAATGTGCAAATATTGAGTGCAACAAGTCATTCGGTGTGATATAGCTAGCTGCCGCCGCACCGCATGCCTGCGAAGCTGGTGTGTTACACCGAAGGGCGGTTATACCGGCTATACAGATACAGATATCGTTGCTGTTGAAATCAATGTGTTCACACTTGCACAGATAATTATTAATCCGTGAATGTAATTAAGTTAAGTAATTAATCATCTCTGCTATCTCTATAGCCGGTATAAATGCAATAAGGTGTAAAACATTAGCTTGGCAGACGCAAAGCAACAGCAGCTGCCTATATTACGCTGAAAAACCTGTCACACCTAACCTCTGTACATCTAACTGCAAGCATTCTTTAATAAACAGGGTGTGGCAAAATGTTCTCTCCCAGCAGACAAACTCCCATGGCATGCTATCACTCTATTTGGCCGATATCTACTCTTTCCAGCCGCCTCCCAAAGTCTGATAGAGGCTAATATTTTGCCCCTACTGTACTTTAACTTCTAAGAAACATCTTCTATACTTTTGAGTCTAGTTTTGACTCACCTCCCTTCTTCTTCCTGCGTCTTTTCTTCTTCTTCCCCTCCCCTCCTGCCGTCTCCTCACCATCTGGGGAAAAACAGGTAAAACAGAGTGAGTCATCCTCAAATACTGTAAATGCATTCACTTTCACAGTGGTTATATTTTGTGGTTAAAACAATTCTGTAGTACAGCAGTGATACCAGCACAAATTTCAGTATTGTGAATTCACGTTGTAGAGTTCACCACTGCAAAAGTTTTGACATTCACAGTAGCCATTAGTGCAATGTGGCTTTGCTATAGCTCACATTTTCAGTCAACAGAAACTGCACACCAGTATCTACATATCACTAGCTGCATAACAGTAGCTGCACAATTCAGATACCATTTAAGGAAGGTCCTTATACTATGTTTCTTCAGAAAGACTGAATAAAGTCGAAACCGGTCAAATTCCGTCTCATTGTTGTCATTCTCCAATCGCTACGAATGAAGGTCCTTATACTAAGTCATAGACAGATGCAGGTAAGATGACACGACAAACAAACCTTGTTCGTCCTCTCCCTCCTCCTCCCCTGTCTTGGGTCCATTCTGCACCTGGACAGCTGCCATCTGTTCCGTCAGCTGTTCTGTGCCGTCTGCAGGTGCATCTCCACCCTCCTGCTGAGTTGGGCTTCCTGGAGAAAAAATGGAGGAGTAAAAATATGAAAACAATGAAAAGACAAACATCAAACATTCAAATACATCCAGCTGAAGTATTTAGAGTTGTTTAGAAGTATGTGATGTATCAATGTTAAAAAAAAGACACTGTCGCTATGTTTAAGGTCAATTTTCTGCCTGAACCAATATACAACACCTGGATATCTGAAGTGCGCATACCTCAGGATTACTTGCATTAGTAGCCGCGGCGACTGTTGCAGGGCTTCTCTTGCTTGCAGTCTTTTACAGTAGCAAGCAAGAGAAGCCCTGCAACAGTCGCCGCGGCTATTGCATTAGACTAGTAGATCTGTTTAGATTCATTCACCTTCTAATGAGTGTGCCTGGCAGAATTAGGAGGGCAGACATTACAGGAAATACAAGTGACCAGTGTTCTTCTTTACAACAACAATATACAGTATTGGTGGATTTATGCAAATTATTGTTAAAACAAAGTTATGCATTATGCATATTATTGCTCGGTAAATCATCCAACTACCACATATTTTTTTCCTATGACTTCATGATGCTTCATCATATTCAATTCCACTGCCTTCAAATCTGCAAATGTAACACATCAGTGATCAAGTTGTTAAAATTATTCATTGAACTGTTAACATACCCTTAGGCTAATGTTACATTGTGTAATATGGTTGGGAAGGGGGAGGGGGGCGGTCCAGTTGTTTCCTATTTTTAGATATTCCAGAGGTTCGTCTGAAGTCGTCAGGCAATCGTACTTAGTCTTTGTCTATATCTTAAGGTTTTGTAGGAACAAAAATGTTGTCATTTGATATTTTAGTCAAATTATTCATATAAAAAAGAGGCATCACTGCGTACAAGAAGTGGCACTATAAGAAGTTCAGATGTATACAAGACTTGCAGCTTAATATTGGCTTATAGATAAAGCATATTAATTTCTAATACGTCCTTCTAAATTAAAATCTTACTAAAAATCCGTAATTTGTAACTTTGCGTCGAACGACATGCTTTACAAGATATGACGAACATGCGCATGTGATGAGCATCCCAAATACCACGTGCGTTCGGCCCCGTAATTCGATACCAACCCACCTCCTTTCTTCTTTTTCTTCTTCTTCTTTTTCTTCTTCTCTCCCTCCGTCTCTCCGCCCTCCTTGTCGCCTTCCTCGGGCCCGTCTTCGCGAGGGGGATCGCACTTTTCCTCCCCCAACTCGAGCTCGGTGTGGACGGCAGCCATGTTGAAAATGGCGTGATGAGGGACACACCGTCACGGTCTAAAAGCGCCACCTATCAGTTTTGTCACAAACTGCATTACCTCTACCCATGCGCTGTTAGAATGATAAAAATCGCTAGATGGCGCTGATGCACTGTCAGTCGAAAACAGCTGAGGTGAGGTTTGGCTGACGTTTTTGTGCACGTGTGAAGTTATCGGCTATATTTCCCCAGTAACGTCACAGGTATAGGAAAACAAGTATCACTCAGAGATAGAGCTGTATTTGAGGCCCATCTTCCAGTACGAGTTTTGTCATTTGCGTTCATATATTCTATCTTTAGTTCTTGACACTGTATTTGTGTGCCCCCCTCCCCACACCGTGACCAAAACGTAAACATAGCGCAGCACTAACCAACATCAAACATCATGGATGAAGAGCCAGGACTGGACGACCTACAGAAGCCAGCTTTTCCCCTGGACGGGCCTGACGTGGTGATACTGGAGGAATTTGACCCAGACATCCCGGCCTCGAATCCGCTGGAATATCTTCAAAGAGTTCGGTGGGTCATAACAAGAATTTGCCACAATATTACTCTGATTTATTTATTTATTAATTAACGTGAGCAAGAGCTGAACTTCATAGACTGACACATTCTTTGTTGTGACATATTCTTTACCATGTGAATATGTAGGGTTTGCGGAAAAGGCTGCCTAGCCTGCAGGCTAGCCTGGCAGGCTTTTGGGTTTACGGAAAAGGTGGGCAGGGCTAGGCCTGCAGGCTAGGCAGCCTTTTCCGCAAAACCTGAATATTTACATGTATATGAATGAATGAATGAATGAGCTTTTGCTGGACTGTTGTAATAAAAGTCTTCATTCTATAAAAACTTCTGTACATATGGTCTATGCAATAATCTGTCCCTGCAGGCTGGAGGCAGAGAGGTGTCCGTCTGTAGTCGTGGCTGACATCGACGTCACAACCTTCAAGGATAAACAGACTGTCCTCGTTTCTCCAGTACGTACATGTTCTAGTATAGGGTTGGACCATAAGGAATGATTCAACAATGATTGTTTAATAGTTAGTAGTTAATTTTGTTACAGGTAAAACTTAGCAGACATGATATTATGATATTTGTATATTTGCCAGTGTAAGGAAAAGTCTTTATTGAGATTGCAACAAGACAATGCCATGTCGACACTAGGCAGCTAATAACTAGGCCACATATTTCATACACACATATTATTAACAACAGTGAAAGTCTGAAGTTAATGTTGCCTTAATTTTTTGTCTCCCTCATCAGTCTTCAGGTTTTATTCCAGCAGAGAAAGGTTTTGCTCCAACAATTCCAGCTCAGAGGAAGTTAGCTGCACAGTTTTCAAATGTCAGACAAGTAAGTGTGTCTTCACATGTTTTTCACTTTGAAGAGTTATATGAGAGGCAATGAATAAAACCTACCAAGGAGGTTTAGAAAATGTAACATCTAGTCATTCCAGTCCTACTGAAGTATAGGAACATTTTTTGAATCTCTGTCACTGAAACTTTTGGAAACTTGTTGTCCTAATGTGTATTGTTTGTTCTCTCCTTACTTGCAGGCATACAGACGGTATCTACAAAACAAGAAGAAAGGAAAACCTGCCAAAGAACTGAAACTGGTATGATTTTCAAAGACTAACCTTCAAAATAAAAGTCAATGTCTAACTGGAATCTGTGTTTGTTTGTTTGTATCTCCCTTAGCGTTCTACATAAAGTGAACACTATTCATCCTATTAAACACACTTCACAGTGGACTAGCTCGTTGCTGTAGTGATTGCATAACTGTGTGGCCCAAGAAACGGCCATAGGCGGGGATCCACGTGCTTAATGGTTCGGGAAGGAACTTAAACTCATTTCTTGTCTATCTGTTGTGTTTCCAGCCAGGTATGAAGGATGAGAGTGGGTGGAAGAGGCTGTGTATGGGGTGTGGCGCGTCTCCTGAAGGGTCTGTAGAGGAAGGAGAGGAGGGGAACGAGGCTACTCCAGACAGCACAAAGGTCATCAAATGCCGTTCTTTTACTCTTTGGCCTTAGGTAACAAATAACCAGAGTTATTAACCAAGGATTGAGGTGTTCAAGAATTCATTCTTTCCTAGAACTATTGCAGAGTGGAACTCACTATCACCAAGTACAGTAGGGGCATTGTCAATAGATAGCTTTAAACAATGTCTAGAGCTAGAATTTCAAGGGTTAAGTGTGACAAGTCGACCGGTGTAATGTAGCCAGCTGCCGCCGCGCCGCGTGCCTGCGAAGCTGGTGTGTTACGCCGAAAGGCGGTTATACCGGCTATACAGATACAGATACAGAAATACAGGAGCTAGACGGCCAGGCATAGAGCTTTTGGTTCAATATTTACCATGTGCATTATGTAGTAGCCTGTGTTACACAGTCTTTTACTACTGACTAGGTCAATTCCCTGAGAGCTTGTGGCTACACACCTCTAACTTGAGCTGATCATCAAGCTTGTAGTTGTAAGGCCCTGACCAGTGGGAGGGCTGCTAGAAGTGTGATGTAGTCAGGCTACATTATATAGCATTTATGTGATGAGCAATTGTTTTGAAGTGAACTGTTAACATCAATTAACTTTTTTCTACTGTATCTTACAGGAGGGTCAGCCTCCAAGTTTACAAATACTGATGACAATGGATCAGGTAAGTCCTACCAACAGTGCAATGATGCCACCTATCAATGTTGTAGAGAACTACTTTAATAATCTTCAATGTACTAGTACCTAAATAAGACTAAGGAAGGACTACAGTGGAAAATGTAGGTTTATTTGCCCACTATGCTTTAGTCAATCAGAGAGCACTCCACACAGTGACATAATATTCCTGCTCCACATTTAATTGTGTAATCATTGAGCAGACATCAAGTAGAAATTCACACTATCAAAAATACAGACCACAAACCTTGCAAGACCAATGCAGAAGTTTAATGCCCTGCTTCCTTGTACTTACAGTGGACGGTGATACAAGTTCTAGACTACCATATTGCCTGGCTACAGAGACACGGATTCTCTGCATTACAGGTAAAAATTATGTTATCTTTTACCATTACCTGATGTACTCAATGAGTCATACAATGTACAGGACTGGTACAAATGTATGTGCCACACATTCAGGCTATATATTGACTAACAGGAACTTGTAAAGACTAGTACATTTTATGATGTTGAAATATACCAAAGGAACAATTAATTTCAGCTTCCACAGTCAAAACCCGGTACACTATTTTCTTTCTGCCATTGCCACACTTGATGTACTGGTACGGTAGTCCCCAAGCAGTTTAAAGCTGGCATGACGATTGGCAAAAACAAATGCATCAAACCACTATACATTTTTACCTTCGTCAAGAAGGTTATGTTTTCAGGGGCGTTTGTGTGTGTGTGTGTGTGTGTGTGTGTGTGTTTGAACACGATAACTCAAGAAGGCTTTGATGGATTGTCTTTATACTTGGTCTTGATGAGACCTCAAAATGATTAGATTTTGGGCCCCCTGGCAGCTTGTCATGGTACTGCAGCTGAACTTCCAGTTTTGATATCTTCTGTATGTGCATTTTTTGCTTGGAGATGACCTGATGAACCCTCTGTCCCCCCATGCCCAGGCGCAGTGGCTGTATGCCCTGATGGTGTGTTTAGAGAAGCCCCTGTACCCAGACACGGCTGCTTCCCTACGGACCCTGTCCAGATGTTGTAGTGCAGTACGAGCCACACTGGTGAGTCCCTCTCTTATTATAGTAACTTCTGCACATTCTACACACGCCCCTTAGCATGTGTAGTCTTCTGGATAGTGACCATACCTCCTGGACTCTTGGGAGTTTGAATCCCGGCTGTTGTTGCTCACCTGACATGCAGGCTACTGGAAAGGGTCGCAGTCCTTTGGATGGGACTTTAAGCCGTGGTCCACTGTTCACTGTACTTGTTGGTAAGAGCTAGGGGAATTTCCCCAGTACAATGAACCTGTAAATACTGTACATAGCGTCTTGTCTTCTTTGTCATAACCAGTGGAAGAGTAGCTCTTCAGTGAGCTAAACTGGTTCGACACCACTTTCATATTCCTACAGATTGAACTTGAATCTATTTTACAGGATAATAAAGAAGATGACAGATTAGCTCCTTTGAACCTCCTCATATGCCTCGTATCTAGGTAAGTGCAGTATTCTACTTGATCTAAACATAAGGAAAGTTGTTTGTATTGTCCCTTTGTACTTGCTATGTTTCAGTTTCCTCACAATGTTGTGTTGCATTTTATTTCTTGCAGATACTTTGACCAGGGTGACTTAGCAGACATGTAGAGGTGACCAGTGTTCATAATTACAGACTCAGAGGTCAACTTACAGACAACAGTTTATTCATGGCCACACCAGAGATCATCCATGTAGGAATGTGATGGAACAGTTCCTGTACTTCTAGATGACAACCTGTGAAAGTTTGCAAGAGCTTCTTCAGTGTACTATTTAAGATTTTAGCTTCAGTACTGAACATTTTTTGTCCTTTGCAAGACAAGGTGTGACATTGTTGTCCAAGGTTTTGTTACACAACTCTTGACAACCACACCACTTGGTTACAAAGACATGAATTCTCTGCATTACAGGTAAAAATCAGGTTATATTTTACCATTACCCAATATACTCATACTATGTAAATGTATGTCTGGCGCATTCAAGGTTTGACATTGTTATCGAAGGTTTTGTTACACAACCCTTGAATGTTACCAGTTTTGAATAAAAGTATTAAGTACATACATGTAGTCCATTGTGCAATGTGTGTTCAGTGTGTGTACTTGTATGTCAACATGACTTGAAGTCACAGGAGTACATTCATTCTATTCACAGTTCTCTACTGTCACTTTCCCACTTTCTTGTAGGAATACTGTATTGTATTCTTTTCCTACGATCCTCTTGGGATTTTCACCCTTTCCACATACTAGATAACCCTATCATCTTGAGAAACAATTGTTACTCTTTGCTATCGGAAGTATTATTTCATGAAAATACGAATTGAACCCCTCCCATCCCCAAGCCAATCTTTAGATAAGTACAATGTACATGTACAACTTCTGACTAGGTGGGTAGTGGGCCATAGACTTGAGAAACAATCACTGCTGTATTGGAAGCATTATTTCGTCAAATTGTACCCCCTCTCAGCTGATCTGTTTGTAGACAAATACAATGTACATTATGTATATTCTTTTCTTTTCTCATGAAAATTTTCATACGTCTCAAAGACAATATACAATCATCTCACACGTTCATTGAAACATTCCCAACAATTACGCACAGTCCATCGCAACTGTTAACTATTTTAAGTACTTGCAAACTTCTTCTTGCCACGGAATAGGAATAGTGCCATACGATGGCGGACTCGGAGGACCTTCAGGCGCTCAGTCGCAGAATCGTCGACCGTGGGATCAGTCGGGATCAGTGTACTGTCGGACACTTGGTTGTTGTCCTCATTAAGTCCATGTGCCCTCTCCGTATGGTTGTGTACCACAGTGATGCCCTCGGCTGGTGCAGTGTCAGATGTTTCAAATTCCTCCTCAAAATCGGCAATCTCGCCGGCGTTCTGAAAACCTGGTAACAGTATTGGCAAGATTGAACAATGTAAATCAAGGACAATTCAGAACCTACCTAGCTGGAAACTTAACCAAACTACGAGATAGCACTTTAGATAGCTCTTAACGTTTGGAAAATAAGTGGCTACAGTGTTATAGGATAAGAGATACAGAAATGTTGGGTGTTATTTGCGAAAACGGTTTGAAATATCAACTTGTCAGCTGTTGGATATTCAGTACTAGTGGTACGGGGTTTAACATTAAAAGTATCCATTTCAAAACATTCAATTTCTTGTGTTTTGAACTCTTCTGCCCGACCATAGGTGAATGTACAGTACACATGTACAGACCCCACGTCACATGTTCTACAGGGCCAAAGATGCTTACCGGGCAAGACGTCAGTCATCTGGGGGTTGAAACGGTCGTCAGCCATCTTCTTGAGATGTTCCTTCAACACCTGCGCGATGTCATCCTCGCCGCGTAATATCGCCAGGCGGTGGCGGACTTGGAGCACCTTCTCAGCACGGGTACGATCCATGGGCATGGTCAGGGTTACGTCGGGGTCGACCATGGGCATGGTCGGGGTTACGTCGGGTCGACTAGAGGGTTGTCGTTGGCCCTCGCGGGATCGGAGTCATCTTTATTCACCCTGACTGTGTTCGGGGGGAGGTCGGCAGCAGCCTCGGCCTCTGGTACGGGCGTTGGGTGGATCTGTGATAAATGAATGAATGAAAGACCTTTATTGTACGCTTGTGCTCTAACGAGCTAAGTACAGGTCATGGGTAAACAGGGAAAAGAAAACAGTAATGACACATACTATATAAACTAATAATGTGATCTACTATTTACAGGTTCAGCTTCTTCTCGCTTCTTGACGCAGTTAAAGATGTACGAACATATTGAGCTAATGATACATGGTTTGTCAAGTTTCATGAGGAATTCGAATTTTTCTATTCTATCTAAATGTCTAAAGCTTAGGACCTTATCTATTACATAAGTATAGAGGGAATCCTTCTCATTTCTATATAATGTGCAGTCAACTTCAAAATGGCATTCATCTTCAATATAATCTAGATTACAAAATTGGCAGATACATGTATATATATAACAACAGTAATCTCAAATGCCAAATGTAAATTAGCATAATACTCCAGACTCTACTATGTAAGTCTGCTTTTTGCTGATAAAGTCATTGTCATTGTCATTCACGCCCAGAAATGATGACCACATGTAGTCTACAATATATGTATAATACACTAAAATCTAAAGACTAACATTGAAGCGCTCGTACCTTCTGGGGGTTGAAGCGATCTTTAGCCATCTTCTTCAGATGTTCTTTCAACACCTTCTTCAGGTGTGTTTTTATCATCTTTGCTATGTCCTCTTCGCGGCGTAGGATCGCCAGGTGGTGGCGGACTTTAGCTTGGAGCACCTTCTTAATGGGCTCAGCACCATCCATGGTGGTCGGGGTTCCGTCGGGGTCGACATGGAGGTTTTTTTTTTTCTTTATTAAAACATTTAGGAGCAAAGTGGACAGGATGACGACACACTCAAGCCGGAGCTTATGTTCATGTCGCCATCTAACATTACAAAAATACAGAAGCAAATGCAAAAACAGACATGCAAAGCTTAATAATAACAGAATAGAATAAATAAGGTTCCAATGTGTAAAGTACTCCAGGCAAAACTTACAAAATTGATAGGAAAGAATTACTCAAATCTTTTAGTTTCCTTTATAAATGATTGAACATAAAGTGAAAATTTTAAGTTATTTGGATATGATAGTGATACAGAACCTCTAAGGAATAAATGAACTAAAACATCATCAGAGAGATCATTGACAGAGGTTTATATCAAATCCTACCAACTTAGCTAAATTGCTAAAAAGGGAGGCACGATATTGTGTATATTAATGACATGGAGGTTATGGGCAGACAGTACTATTAGATTTGTTCTACAGGCGGTAGGGGAGGTAGATCGAGGAGAGAGGCCGGAGCGTGAGCGATGCCGAGCTCAGACTGAGGAAACATACCAAGGAAACGGCGAGCAACTGGAGGTCACAGTTTGCGGCCATGTTGCTGACGTCACTTGGCTCACAACTTTTCATCAGTTGACCCTTTTGGGCTTAGGTGGTTTACTTCTCTGCCAGCTAAAACATAAATACTTTGCTGACATTTTTTAGAATACATGTAACATATTTATTAACGTGCACTCAGGAAAAAACCCTGTTTCAACGTTATTGATCATCAATAATTGATATCAAAGTCATTACTGATATCGTATGATCTCTAACGTTATAGGTAATCTATAGGAAAATTCCAAACATAAAGTCGCATCACCTAGGCTTACCGTGATTGATGATCTCGGGACAAAGTACATTTGGCTGCATTTGCTATTTTGGTGTAAACCGCTAGATGGCAGTTGTACAAGCTGACCTCCAGTGACCCCTAGCCCTATAAGAGAACGTCAGACCAGTTGGATCAGCTGGCTGAGCTGTCCTGTGTGTTGATTTCTAAGAAGTTTGTTCTTGTCTCCAAGTCGAGACGCTTCACTTCTAGTAGGTGTTTGGATAGACTTCGGGTCACCTGGGACGCATAAAAGGTAAGGTGTCATGTTATAGGGTGTGACCTGTGACCTGTCGGACCAACTAGAGAGAGACACGTAACCCTTAAGGGCTTTTTACAGCCTTATTTTCACCTGTTCGTCGCGTCGACGCCATATATAGAGTTTATAACGTTTCCTGTGTGTGTACAGGTCATCTTCAACGAGGAATACTACCAGAAAGCCAACACTACAATCACTACAGAAGTGTTCACCGGCTACAAATGTACAGGCAAACGGTAGGTTTTAACGTCAACAGTTTGAAAATATCATTTTATGCATGTTTATGTTGGTGTCATGTCGTCGCTCAAGTAGTCGTCTGGCGTTATGTCATGATCTGTTACAAGTCGAAGCGCCTCTCTCTATCTAGGTGAACGGTACAGTTAACCATGAAATTAGTCCTTAAGTGCCGTTACAATCACTAGACGTCTTGCTTGACATTTATTTATAAGCCCATATCACGTTTTATAGGACACGCCCCCCTCCCCATCACTGACATTATTTTTGTGGCATTGACCTAGTTCTAACGCTATTTATGCCTCGATTTGAACTTAACGGGCCCGTTACTGTTGTTGTTATAGACCAGCTCGGAATTTTTGATCATATATAGGTACATGTAAAATATAGGCGTTAAAAACATTTTTACACATCAGTGTAATGAGTTAAGTGTCTATATATTAGTCATCAAATACATACTTTGTATTACATTCAAAGGGTCGACTCATGATATTTACGTCATGTTCATTTTTGGCAAGCTGTAGCAAAGGACACCACAGTGCATTTTGACAGTACACTGAATATACACAAGCAATCATGGTAACACATTAATTGATATCCGCTAAACAAGAAAACTATAGAAAAATTTAAGGTGTATACATAATTTGTAGATCTAACATTAAATATAGAAAATGACGGGAATGAAGGTTTGAGAAATTGGTTCATACTGCTATGATAGAGGTTTGCTCTGTGCCTGAAAATGTCATCCTCCTTCGCAGGGCTAAAATCCTCCGGTTCCCATCCTCCTTCGCAGGGCTAAAATCCTCCGGTTCCCTTCGGGTTCTAAAACCCGAAGGGAACCGGAGGATTTTAGTCCTGCGAAGGAGGATGGAAAATGTGCAATACAACACTAATACTTGAGAACTAGTCTGCCACACAGCAATTTGTTTGTTTGACCAAAAGGGCTAACTGTTCTATCCAACACTAAGTAAATTGCTGTTTCTGACGTCATATCCCGGAAGCTGCAGTAGAAGGGTCCATTCCGTGAACAAGGCTGACGGAGTCGGTTGAAAATTTGGGTAAGTCCCAATTTACTTCGTGTTGGATAGAACGGTTAGCCCTTTGGGTCATAATGAAGTATAACGTTCCCAACACAGATGAACTTTCATGCTAAAATTTGTTTGTTTGTTAGTACCCTGACGCCCCCGGCATGCACACCAGCGGCCCAGACAGCCACACCAGGGTCACCTACCGGGAACAGCCTGGCTTCCTCAGCAGACTCAAGAACTCTTTCTTCGGAGCTTTCTTTGGCTTCCTGCTCTTCTGTGGGTCCTTCCCTGTACTCTTCTGGAATGAGGTACAGTAGTCAATATGTAATTCAAGACTTAGAAATAGAAGATATGGAAAGTGTGATTGCTCCAATGTAGGCAGTGCTTACTTCAATTGGGTCTAACTTTGGCAAGACTAAAATTGAGGTTCTTCAACATCCTGTTAACAGTAGGCAGTTTGTAATATGGGTATTCTGATGTGTTAAGAGTTAAAACTTTTGATTCAACACAAAGGGGTTCTCTCACCTAGAGCTTTCCACCAGTCACTCTGGTCTTCCTCAGTAGACTGACCTAGTGAGGCTTGTCATGTGGCCTCTTTGAAGTGTGACGTCAACACTGGGTCAAAGGTATCTGATAGATGATGTTGGTCCCTGTCGGAGTGAAGGCCTTTTTCACCCCTCTCAAGGAATAGTCTTGTTCAGTGTCCAATATTCTCACAGGGTATTCTGATTCTGTAGTGCCTCATGTTCACACTGATGTTTGTGTATCCTGTACAGGGTCGTGCAGTTCAGACTGCACAGTCATTGGACGAGGGTCTGCGCTCGGTGATCCACCTCTCCACCGTGGACGTCGCCTTTGAGCACAACAACCACAAACTGGTGTACTTCACTGGTCCGCTCAGCACAAACAAGGTACAAACATGTCATATGGTCTTACAACAACAGAACAACAGTCTCAAGCAGCATCATACATTTTGTTTGTACAAAATATATGATGTTACCGGTACAAAATTACAACATTGACCATAAGTAGACATTTGGACTACTTATCGTCCTTGACCACTGTTGAAACAATATCAGAATGTGAAAATTTGTAAGGATCAGACTATACAGACTGCACAGTTATGATTTTGGTATATTTTGGACTGTTTTGGAAGAAGGATAGAAGTTTGTAGAGAAGGGAGTACAGAGAATCAGACGATTGTTTGTGTTTCACTTTCAGCCCCTGACAGATACAGACTATGCCGTCACCGTACCTGCTGTCAAACTGAAGAAACATGTGGAGATGTACCAATGGGTGGAGCATGAACACACCAAGTAGGTCATAGTTCAACTCTGGTCAGGGGTTAAAGTTGGGCTTGACAGTGACACACCTGTTAGGTCAGAGGTCAAATCTTGGCAATGTACAATCTTAGTCATCAAAGTTCAAACATTTTATCATCAACTGGTTGCATCTGTGTTTGGTTTTACTCCTTTCCTGAGTAAAAAGGTTTTTAGATTGTATTCATTGCACTGTGTTTGTTTCAAACGTTTTACAGGTGCACAATACTAGCAATTACTGCCTGTACTCCACATGAGTTGTACTGTGGTAGTCCAAATAAAATAAGATCAATGTATGAACCACATATAACTGTTATTTCTTACAGGGAGTACAAGGAAGGGAACCAGGTTCGCAGGGAGACAACCTATACATACAGTAAGAACAACATACTTCATTCTTATCAACACAGGCAAACTGTCAAACTGCATTTTCTTTACATATCGATTCTATGTCAGTCTTCAACAGACTTGAGAATTTGATCAGTATAGTTTGATCTGTTTGATAAGTTAATTCTTCCCCGATGTCTAACCCCATTCCCAATAGAGGAATTAGCTACTTCAGTGCGGTTAAAACAGGCTTTCTCTGTTATCCACTAACATGTTTAATGTTCAAGTTGTTAATTTTGTGAATAATTATTGCAGACGAGGAGTGGAGGTCTGACCTGGTGAACAGTCGGAACTTTGATCGAGAGATGGGACACAAGAACCCAGGGTGAGCTATCAGACTTCTGACACACACACACACACACATGGCTCATTTTGTATAGTTACATGTATTACACAGCACACTTCATCATTTTTGTTCTACTCTTTGAAGTGCATCACTCACACTCTGTAGTTTTATTCGGTGGTTGTAGCAACTGACACACCTTATCACACCATAAACACCTTGTGGCAGGTCATTAACCCTTGAGTATCTCTGCCATAGGTCCATGCCAGTCCGCAGTGAAACTATCACAGCAGATGATGTCACCATTGGGAACTTCCACCTTTCCAAAGGTAATTTCAAAAATATTTGGAAGAACATTTTGTGCTAACTTTGTATCAAACTTATAACTAACTTTAGTAAGGAATATATTCTATTAAACAAGAATTTAGACATTGAAACTGCAGATAGAACACATTGAAGATTTTGTGGGCTTATAAAATCATGAAGCATTTAACAAAACATATCATTGGCACCTTCCAGTGTTTAACACATAATTATGCTATCCCACAGGTCTGATTGGGAAGATCTCCCACTTTGTGAAGTACCCTTTGGCCAAGAGTCACCTGGTGCCCTCTGACCCCCAGGTCAAAGTGTTCCAGGGAGCCTTCTACCACTCAGCTGACCCCATCAGGCCAAAGGTCAGTCATGAAGTTACTGCATGGACACAAAATTCTTGAAAACCTTAGATTATAAACTAAGCCAATCTGTCCACTTTTTGATGGTCCCTTAAATAAGTTTTCTGTCTGTATCCTGTCTATATATAGTAACAGACCAGATTTTGTTGGTCCGCTTAGTGGTCGTAGAGACCTAAAAGAAAGTGGACTGACTCTGGACACAGCCTCGGACGCAGCTGCAGATAGGGCCAGATGGAAATCCTTCCTGTCGCCTCAAGAACCACTAGGTTCAGAAGAGGAGTGAATGAGTGAGTGAGTGAGTGAGTGAGTGAGTGAGTGAGTGAGTGAGTGTGAGTGAGAGTGAGAGTGAGTGAGTGAGTGAGTGAGTGAGTGAGTGAGTGAGTGAGTGAGTGAGTAGTGGTCTTGTTGGTAAGTTTTGACTGCAGTGTTTGACACACTTTATTCCCTGCATCATCACAGGTGGGGGATGTACGTGTGGAGTTCAGCTATGCAGGACTGTCCGGGAACTCAGAGCTGGGACCAGCAGACCATGTGAGTCACTAAGTTTTGTGTTTAGCACACTGGAGTAAACATTGGACCACCAACTACAACTACAATTGCTTAATGGCTTTGGTAGCAAGGAAAAGATTAAATCCCATTGTCCCTGTACCCATATGTTGTGGCATCATTTGATACAGTATCAAACATACATACATACATACAGTAATATCTTTAACATGACATTTTTCTGTCCCCTCTCAGGTCAGTATAGTAGCGCGTCAGGCTGGGAACAGACTGCAGCCATACCAGACTGAGGCTGGGGATGCGCTGGAGCTGCTGTATTATGGAGTCCTGTCTCCTGAGGTAAGGACTCACTAGTGGGCAGTACAAGCGATGTAGTTTTTAAGATTTTTACTTTCAGGTACGGAAGTGATGTTTTGGGTGGCTGAGCTGTGGGTTTGTGTATCTGTGTCTGAGTAAGTTGACAGTACCTGGGGAGGATTGACAGGTAGAATGACAGGTTAAAAGGTCAGACACAGGAAATGGGTTGAACTTGAAGGTCATAAAAATTCAAAATACTTCCTAGAAGTCTGAAGTCTTGAATTTGTTGTTAAAGAATGAGGAACATCTGATGAGCAACAAAATGATGAGGGATCCTGAGGGATCAATATAAGATCTAATTGTTTATCAACTGTTTTCCTTTTTGCAGAAAATCTTTGAAGCAGAGCATGCTGCTAACAGCATGCTGACCTGGGCTGTGAGGGCAGCAGGCTGGTTCATGATGTTCATCGCCCTCTTTCTGATGACAAACATACTGCAGACACTTGGTAAGTACCGGACCATCATACTACACGTGTATAATGGTAGTTCCATAGCCTCTTTCATGCCATGAATTGTTAAACCACTGTGTCAAGGGCATGGTACTAGTATTGGAAGGTGGAGCCCATCCCTCTCCTTCACCACTGTTTTACCTTGAGTCCCCAATTGAAGTCAGGTACCCATTCTACTATTGAGGAAAGTTGTGTAAAGTACATTTCCCAAGGACACAAAGTCTAGCCAGA